AGAGAGGGAAACATCGATGTGAAAGGGACACATCGAGTGGCTGCCACCCACACGACCAACCAGGGCCGGGGACAAACTGCAACCGAGGTACATGCCCTTAGTGGGAACCGAACCCGGGTCTCTCTGGACTGCAGGCCAGTGCTCTAACCGCTGAGCCAAACTGGCCAGGGCAGAACTTTCACTTAAAGAAAGCACAGCTTCTCTTTGGCATATTTGAACTGCCAGCCTCACTACTCTTACCCTTTGGGACCATTATTAAGTAAAATAAGGCTTACTTGAACATGAGCAGTGTGATACTGTAACTGAGACTGCCACTAAGTGACTAAGGTCGGGGGATGTATGTGTTGTGGATGAGTCAAGCTAGGACAGAGTGGGAAGGGATGAGTTTTCATCACCCTACTGAGGATAGTGTGACATTTAAAACTTAAGAATTATTTATTTCTGGAATTTTCCATTTAATAGTTTCAGACTGTGGGTAACTTAAACCGCAAAAATTGAAACCTCAGATAGAGGGGGCAGGGGCTACAGTATCACATTCCCTTGGCAGAAAGTTCTCACTCATGGATATTTATGAAATGAACAGACACAAGGCAAATGCTGGATGTGGGCAGTGTCCTGATTGCTGGGTTTTATTTTATTTATTTAATTAATCCGTCACCCGAGGACATTTTTCCATTTTCTGTTCAGAGAGAGTGGGAGGGAGAGAGAGAGAGAGAAACATCGATGTGAAAGGGACACATTGAGTGGTTGCCACCCGCACAACCCAGCCAGGACCGGGGACAAACTGCAACCGAGGTACGTGCCCTGAGCGGGAACTGAACCCGGGTCTCTCTGGACCAAAGGCCTATGCTCTAATCGCTGAGCCAAACCGGCCAGGGCTGTTTTATTTATTTATTTGCTTGAAAGGGAAAGAACAAACGAGAAAGAGAGACATTGGTTTGTTGTTCTACTTATTTATACATTCAATGGTTGCTTGTATGTGCCCTGACCAAGGATCGAACCTGCAGCCTTGGAGTATTGGGATGACACTCTAACCAACTGAACACCTGGCCAGGGCCTGTCCATTTCTTTTTAAGATTTAACTTCTCTCCTTCAAAAGTTTTTTTTGAAGTAACTTCGTATTTTTATAGTTTATTTTTATAGCTAGTTTAATTCTCAGTTTTGGTAGAATAACCTTTGAGTTGCCTGGTAAATACTAAGCATTGTAGTACGTATTGCCAAATGGAAAGTTTACTGTTCTTTTAAAATAAGTACAGATTGACCAACCATGAATGATTTACTTTGGTTCACCTAGCAAATTAAACATCACCAACCATTTATTCAGCTTAAATTTAATGGGTGGAAAAGGATTACAGTATGTACAAGAACACCTACGATAACCAGTTTTAGAAAAAATATTTTTGTCGCCCTGGCCGGTTTGGCTCAGCGGTTAGAGCGTCGGCCTCTGGTCCTGAGAGACCCGGGTTCGGTTCCCGCTAAGGGCATGTACCTTGGTTGCAGTTTGTCCCCAGCCCTGGTCGGTTGTGTGGGTGGCAGCCACTCGATGTGTTCCTTTCACATCGATGTTTCTCTCTCTCTCTCTGTTCCTCTCTCTCCCTCCCGCTCTACCTGAACAAAAAGTGGAAAAATGTCCTCGGGTGAGGATAAAAAAAAAAAAAAAAGAAAAAAAGAAAAAAAGAAAAAATATTTTTGTCTCTTTAATTATGAGGTAGTACTTAGATCATATGATACGGCAGCATTGTTTGGATGAGATGCCTGCCATAGGCCAATGATTTTCAACTGGTGTGTTGCAAGAATTTTTAAAACTTGCAATACCTGAATGAGTAAAAATTATACCTATTTTTATGTCAGATTGGCAAAAACTATGTTTTTTTGGTGTGCCACAGAATTTTAGTAATTAGTTTATGTGTGCCATAGATGAAAAATGTTGAAAATCACTGGCCTATGGTAAAATTGGGTTTGTTTTGCTTAGTTACAGAACCTATCAACAACATTGAGGACTTACTGTACAACTCTTGACAGAATGCTCATTTCATTATCTTACAAATGCTTTCCATTGGGTGGAATTAGCTTTTACTGAGATTGTAAATTCAGAATGGGCTCAGTGATGTGCAGTTTGTGTGATCACGGAAGTTCTAGCTTAAGAGAGGTGAGATACCAATGACAGAGAGCTACTGATAGGATTTCCACTGAATTCCAGAGTTTACCCTGATCTAAAGGGCAGCTCCCTTTTTATTGGCATCCTTACTCAAGCTTTTCTGGATTCCTGAGTGCAAATTCTAAACAGTGATACACTTCCTGAAAGATAAAAATTGAGATCAGTCCATGAAGTGAAATTTTATGTTGATATAAAGAAGTTTATTCTTTTTTTTTATCCTCACTCGAGGATATTTTTGCATTTATCTTCAGATAGAGAGGAAGAGAGAGAGAGAAACATTGATGTGAGAGAGACACATCGATTGGTTGCCACCCGCACAACCCCAGCCGGGGCCAGGGACGAACCGCAACCGTGCCCTTAGCGGGAATCGAACCTCGGACTTCCCAGTCCGTGGGCCGACACTAACCTCTGAGTCAAACCAGCCAGGGTGATATAAAGAAATTTAGCCCTGGCCGGTTTGGCTCAGCGGTTAGAGCGTCAGCCTACGGTCCGGAGAGACCTGGGTTCAGTTCCCGCTAGGGGCACGTACTTCAGTTGCAGTTTGTCCCCGGCCCTGGTTGGTCGTGTGGGTGGCAGCCACTCGATGTGTCCCTTTCACATCGATGTTTCTCTCTCTCTATCTCTCCCTCTCTCTCCCTCCCACTCTATCTGTACAAAAAAATGGAAAAATGTCCTCGGGTGAGGATTAAAAAAAAAAAATCTAGCCCTGGCCGGTTTGGCTCAGTGGTTGGAGCGTCGGCCTGCGGTACAGGAAGAAATTTAAAATGCTCCATAAAACATGCCTCTTATCCCTTGTCCCTGGTTTTTACTTTTTGAATGAGGGTATAGAACGGTGAGGGGACAGGAAAGCAGAGGAATTGAGCAGTAGTATATATCTGTATGGTTGGGCCATAGTGCTCAGAGGCAGGCAGCAACTAAGAGAGGTGAGGTGAGGAATGAAGTTCATGTGACAGCTTTCTGGAGGACGGGGCACTTAGGCTGAATTTTGAGGTATGAGGAAGAGTCCAGTCAAGAGGGAAAGGAAGTTTTAGGTAGAGGTGCTTGCCTCTAGAAAAGCACAGGTATGGAGTCCTACTGGTTGAATTTCAGGCACTTCAGTATGGCTTTAGCACAGAGTAAGGGTAATTGTAGTTAGGGGAGAAATGGATGGAAAGATGGGCTAGGTCCAGATCAGTAATTTGGGCTTTATCCATAGGTGATCTATCCTGTTTAGCATGATGATCAGATTTATGAACTTTGCAAACGGAAAGTTTGTGGGAGGCAAGGCAAGGCTAGGGACAGGCAAACCACTGTGATAGCTGTTCATAGTTCAGACCTAAAATGAGGATTGGACTAGGGGGTGTCCTGGTGGGAATGGAGAGGAGATAGATTTGAAAGATATTCAGGAGATGGAATTGACAGGGCTTTAGGAGGTACATGGTGAGGAACAGAGGAGACAGGGATGTCAGGGCATTTGGATGAATAGAAGTTCAAAACAGAGAATAAGGGAGAAACTGGTTTAGAAAAGGAAATGAGCCCTGGCCGGTTTGGCTCAGCGGTTAGAGCATCGGCCTGCGGTCCCGAGAGACTAGGGTTCGGTTCCCGCTTAGGGCATGTACCTCGGTTGCAGTTTGTCCCCGGCCCTGGTTAGGTTGTGTGGGTGGCAACCACTCGATGTGTCCCTTTCACATCGATGTTTCTCTCTCTCTCTCTCCCTCCCACTCTATCTGAACAAAATATAAAATTAAAAAAAAAAAATGTCCTCGGGTGAGGATAAAAAAAAAAAAAAAAAAAAGAAAAGGAAATGAGTTCTGCTTGGGATAAGGACTTTAAGGTGCCTGTGGGGCAGGCAATTCTGGTAGGCATTTGGAGTTGTCAAGTTTGTAATCACCGGAATAGGTGCTAGTGAGTGCTTAAAGGTAGGGTTGTGTATTTTTCTTGTTTTTGGATCTTTATATTACTCATCTTTCTCTTCCTCAGCACTAATCATAGTGCTTTGTATGTAGGTGTGAGAGTGAATAGATATCATCCCTTACAACGATGGTTCTCAACCTTCCTAATGTCACGGCCCTTGAATACAGTTCCTCATGTTGTGGTGACCTCCAACCATAAAATTATTTTTGTTGCTACTTCATAACTGTAATTTTGCTACTGTTATGTCTTAGGTGACCCCTATGAAAGGGTCGTTTGACCCCCCCAAATGGGTCACGACCCACAGGTTGAGAACCGCTGCCTTACAAGATATGATCCTGAATCTTGGGGAAGTAACTTCCCCTCTCAAGACCTGTGTTTTACTTTTTGTTAATGAGAGAGTTGAACTAGATTAGTAATTCTCAAAGTTTTGCAATAGTCTGGTATTCTGGGATCAATTGGGAGGTATGGCAAGTAATTTTTAACTAATAAAGAGCTGATATTTACTCACCTTTTAAATGAGATTTGATTTATGTCACTTTTTTTTTAAATATGTTTTTATTGATTTTTTAGAGAAAGGAAGGGAGAGAGAGAAACATTGATGTGAAAGAGAAACATCTATCGGCTGCCTCCTGCACGCCCCCTACTGGGGGTTGAGCCCACAACCCAGGTATGTGCCCTGACTGGGAATTGAACTGACAAGCCTTTTCATGCACGAGATGACACTCAACCAACTGAGCCACTCCAGCTAAGTGTTTCCCTGTATATTTTCTTAACAGTGAGAAAAAGGGGTGGAGTTATATAATTAGTCAGCTGGAATTCGTAACTCTGAATCTACCAGTGGCTGTGTCACACAGAATTGTGGTGGATAAGGACTTAAAATCATAAAATTCTGTTTATATCTAGGACCTATCATTCTGATCATAAATTATTTCTATTTTTGCAACTTCAGGAACTCTATTTTAAGGACCTTTCTAAAAGAAAAAAACAAGTCATGGAGAAGAATGGGAATAACCGGAAGCTTCGGGTTTGTGTTGCTACTTGCAACCGAGCTGATTATTCTAAACTCGCACCAATCATGTTTGGCATTAAAACGGAACCTGAGTTCTTTGACCTTGATGTGGTGGTACTTGGCTCTCACCTGATAGATGACTATGGGTAAGATGAAAGCATTTTCTTATGATATTCTTCACTGCAACATGGGGTACTGGAGAGAGTTTGGTTCTAGGAACTATGTGGACCTAGCTTCAAATCCCAGTTCTGCCACTTAGTTTTTGTTTGTTTGTTTTTTATCCTCACCTGAGGACACTTTTGCATTCATATTCAGATAGAGTGGGAGAGAGAGAGGGGAGGAAGACAGAGAGAGAAACATCGATGTGAGAGAGACACATCGACTGGCTGCCACCCACATGACCCCAGCCGGGGCCAGGGACAAACTGCAGCTGAGGTATGTGCCCTTAGCTGGAACTGAACCCGGGTCTCTCTGGTCCTCGGGCCGACGCTCTAACCGCTGAGCCAAACCAGCCAGGGCTCTCCCACTTAGTTTTTTTTTTTTTATCCTCACCCGAGGACATTTTTCCATTTTTTGTACAGACAGAGTGGGAGGGAGAGAGAAGAGAGAGAGAGAGAAACATCGATGTGAAAGGGACACATCGAGTGGCCGCCACCCGCACGACCAACCGGGGCCGGGGACAAACTGCAACCGAGGTACATGCCCTTAGCGGGAATCGAACCCGGGTCTCTCCGGACCGCAGGTGGACGCTCTAACCACTGAGCCAAACCGGCCAGGGCTCCCACTTAGTTTTTATGTGGCGAAGTTGCTTAGCATCTCTGAGCCTCAGATTCCTCAATTATAAAATGGAGTGAAAACCTGTGTTGTAGATATTGTGAAGAATGGAGATAGTGATATAGAGAACTCACTTCAATAATACTGTTTAATAGATGCTTGATAAATGATAGCTGTTAATACTATTATTTGCTATTACATTCAGGAGAAATAGCACTTATATATTGTGTGATATAACAGTGTGATTCTCTGTAATCTGTTTTGTGAGTTCTAATGGTAATTCTATATTAAAACTGGTATACAGATCAACAGCAAATAAAATAGTAGATATGGAACAAGATTTTAAAAATCTAATCGGCCCTGGCCGGTTTGGCTCAGCGGTTAGAGCGTCGGCCTGCGGTCCTGAGAGACCCGGGTTCGGTTCCCGCTAAGGGCGCGTACCTCGGTTGCAGTTTGTCCCCGGCCCTGGTTGGTTGTGCAGGTGGCAGCCACTCGATGTGTTCCTTTCACATCGATGTTTCTCTCTCTCTCTCTCTCTGTTCCTCTCTCTCTCTCCCACTCTACCTGAACAAAAAATGGAAAAATGTCCTCGGGTGAGGATAAAATAAATAAATAAATAAAATTAAAACTCTAATCGATTTACCAGGCAAAGTAAAATGTTATATTAGTATTACCACTGATATTTATTTTGATGACATTAGGTTTGTTACTGATCAGAGTCAAAATATGAAAAATGTAAGTTGGGAGATCTTTGAGGGAGCAGAATATATAAACCGAAGATGAACATTCATTATGTTATATTTAGTAAAATTGCATTTAGTGCACCCTTGTGGCATGAAAATGTTAATGCAATCTCCAAAGATGGTAAAAAATACAATATTAAATATGAAAAGTTTGTGTTAAAGTGGAATTGTTTTTTTTCAAATGATTCTTTAAAAACAATATAATAACAGCAAACACAAATAAATAAAAACCTTCCTCCAAAAACCAAGTTCGCAATTTGCTCTAAGAACTTAGAGTGGAGGAAAGAAGAAATTTATGATCAGCTCAAAATATTGTAGCTTTTAAAAATGTGAAATGAATTCTGCCTAAGAAAACTTATGGGTTTTCTTACACGCACAGGACAAAGATAGGATGAAATAGAAGAGAAATGTTAGCTAGATCCTGAAATGAAAGTCTAAATGGGTTCTTTTACTTCTATGAGAAAGGTTTGACAGAAGACTAATAGGAGAGAGGCCCTCAAAGAAATTGTGGTAGGTTTCTTTTTTTTTTTTTTATCCTCACCCGAGGACATTTTTGCATGTATCTTCAGATAGAGTGGGAGGGAGGGAGGGAGGAAGAGAGAGAGAGAAACATCAATGTGAGAGAGAGACATTGACTGGTTGCCACCCACATGACCCTGACCAGGGCTGGGGACAAACTGCAACTGAGGTACATGCCCTTGGCCAGAATTGAATCCATGACTCTCTGGTCCGTGGGTCAATGCTCTAACCGCTGAGCAAACCTGGCCAGAGCTGTATCTTGAGTTTTAATCCACATTAATATATTATCTACTTTAAGAAGAGATTAAACAAACAGAAAAAATAAGCTACCTTTCTACTTTTAAGAATTGAGCAGCCCTGGCTGGTTTGGCTCAGCAGTTAGAGCGTTGGCCCGCGGATAGGAGAGTCCTGGGTTTGGTTCCCACTAAGGGCACATACCTCAGTTGTGGTTTGTCCCCGGCCCGGTTGGGATCATGTGGGTGGCAACCACTCGATGTGTCTCTCTTACATCGATGTTTCTTTCTCTTCCTCCCTTTAAAAAAAGAAAAAAAGAATTGGGCAAAAGGAAAGGAAATCAGATGAGTAACAGACTACACAGAAATTCATTTGTTCATTTACTCAATAATTTTTTTAAGAAGCTGTGGATGTTTCTAAACATCCTCCAAGGCATAGATCAGATCCCCCAACAATGATCTATCTGGTCCGCAATGTCAGTAGTGCTGAGGTTGACATACCCAGATCAATGGTGTTTCCTCAAAAATAATGTGAAGGGGAAAAAAAATGGACAGAACAGCAGTGAAGATGGCAGAGTAAGTAAATGTGGTACTCGTATTCTCCCACAACCACATCAGAATGACAACTAAACTACAGGACAACCATTATTCAGAACGCCCTGAAATCTACCTGGACAGGAGTCCTGTAACTAAGAATATAAAGGAGAAGCCACATCCAGACTGGTAGGAGGGGTGGAGATGAGGAATGGGCCTGTCCCACACCCACAAGTGGCAGTTAAAAATCAGGAGGGATATCTTTTTTTTTGCTGGGGAAGTACCCCTGAGGAGTGAGGAGTCCCAACCCGACACAAGTCCTCCAACCCAGGGTTCCAGTGCCAGGAAGAGAAGTCCCCATAACTTCTGGCAGTGAAAACCAGTGGGGACTGTGGCTGAGTGAGACAGAGGGCTTCTGGAGTCCAGGCATTTCTCTTAAAGATCCCCACAGATTTACTTGGACTCACTCACTCACTCTGAGCTCCAGGGTTGGGGCAGCAGCTAGAAAGGTACCAGGGACATATGAAGAGGAACTGAATTGTCTAGTTTCAGGGCAAGGCCAGAAGGACAGATTTCTACCAGACAGAAGTGCTGGCAGAGGGCCATTGTTGCTTTTCAGGGCCCTCTTCCCACAGGTACCATATCTGAGTCTCCATTAACCTGACTCACACAGTTTGTCCTGCCTTGGTGATTCTCTGAGCACTTGCCCACCCAACTTGTGGGCCCACCCAAGCCACTTCCAGTTTCTTTTCCATACAAATGGCCTGGCTCAGGCTGAAATCTCTCAAACAAGCAGCATCTGGCCTTGGCATGCCTTGTACCTCTTCCTAAGTGGCCCCATGCCCAGCACTAGTGACAGCTAGCCTTGGTTCAAAGACTGGCCTCTCTCAGCACCTCAAAGCGCTGCACTAGTAGCAGCCATCTACATGTAGATCCCTTTGCAGCTCATGCAGGGTGGCCCCTGGTAGTGCACAGGCAATGAATGACCTTGACCTGTACCTCCTGATAGGCCCCAAAACCAGCTACATGGTGGACAGCTTCAGACCACACCAAAACACCACCCAACTGCCTCCATGAGTGACATACTCAAGGGGTGGATTCAGCTGTCACCTGAGCACCCTTGAAGCAAATCCTGCTCTATGGGGTTGGCCACCGCACAGTAGATCCTCCATGGTGGATCTCAAAGCTGATCAGCTTGGGGGTAAATTCCTCCCATTGACATGCCAACAGCAATCAAAGGCTCAACTATAACAGAAAGGTGCACAGAGCCCATGGAGAAGGACATACCTGGAGCACCCAGCTCAGGTAACCAGAGAGGCTGGGCCACTGGGCCCTAAAGGACATCTACTACATAAGGCCACTCTACCAAGACTGGGAGATGTGGCAGCTCTACCTAATATTTAGAAACAAACACACAGAGGCAGCCAAACTGAGGAGACAAAGAAGCATGTCCTAAATGAAAGAACAAAACTCCAGAAGAAGAACTAAACAAAATGCAGACAAGCAATCTATCAGATGTAGAGTTCAAAACACTGGTTATAAGCATGTCAGTAAACTTAGGGGAAGGCCAGATGAACTAAGTGAGAACTTCAACAAAGAGGTAGGAGCCCTGGCCAGTTTGGCTCAGCGGTTAGAGTGTCGGCCCATGGATCAGAGAGTCCCGGGTTCGATTCCCACTAAGGGCATGTACTTCAGTTGCAGTTTGTCCCTGGCCCCAGTTGGGGTCATGTGGGTGGCAACCACTTGATGTATCTCTCTCATGATGATGTTTCTCTCTCTCTCTCTTCCTCCCTCTCTCCCTCCTGCTCTATCTGAAGATAAATGCAAAAAGAAATGTCCTTGGGTAAGGATTAAAAAAATATATATGGTCATTAAAATAATAAAGGGACTATTAGGTTAAGAAAGTTGACAATTTAGATGAAATGGACAAAGTGATACTACCTCATGACCAAGTGGGGTTATCTCAGGAATTCAAGGTTAATTTAACATCTGAAAATCAATTAGTATAATTCACATCTTAATAGAATAAAGGGGAAAACCCATACAATCATCCATATATGTTTTTAAAAATTGACAAAATTAAATAACTAATTATGATTAAAACTTGTAGTAAGTCTGAAATAGGAATTCTTTAATTTGATAAAGGGCACCAGTGACAAACCTATGTGTGCTTTCCTCCTAAATTGGGAACAAGGTAAGGACTTCCATTTTGACTTCTCTTCAACTTGTACTAGACGTCACAGCCAATATAGTATAGCAAGATGTATACATAAAGGCACAAAGATTGTCTTTATTTACAGACAACAAAGCTTGTGTAGGAAAATTCAAAGGGATCTGTGAAATGACTACAAGGACATCCATATGATGTAAAATAATGTATGTAAAGACTCCTTCGTGATCTGAGAAAATATTAGTATTAAATGAATTAAGTAGGTTACAAAATTATGTAATGTGTTCTCAAACATGTTAAAATATTATGCATAAAAAGGCTAGAAAGAAAATCAAAATGATAACACTGACATTGCTGAGTGTAGGTTTATGGATGATAATTTTCAGTATTTTCCAATTTTTAAATAATAAATGTATTATACATTTAGGAAAAAAGCCATATCTTTTAGAATCTTGTCGTAATAGACAGGGAACTTGAATGCATTGAGAATTGCTGCTGTTACTGAAGCATGAAACAGACTTGGAACTGCATTTCACAGCCAATTTAATTCTATAAAACCTACATTTTCACTCCAGTCAGAATTATGCTACATTACTAGTACCATAAAAAGAAAATTCAAGTGATAATTTCCATCATTCAGAAATTTGTATTATTGTGATATGTCTGGTGTCCTGGTTCCCTACTATTTTTTTTAAACGAGCTTTGCTTTTATAAGTAACATTTCCCCCCCTATTAAGTAGCATATTTAAAATAATTTGTAAATTTATATATATATATATATATCTCATGACCACTGTAAATTTTGGTTTCTTTTTTCCTAATAAAAAAAATTCTCCCTTAGAAAGTTCTCCTCCAGGTACTCACAAGTGAGATTTTCAAGTTGCTGAATGGTTATGTCTTAATCTGGATGGTGGCTACAGGGTATGCAGGTAGAAAAATTAATCAAGTGATCTATGCATTTATGGTCTGTGCTTTTAATTTTTTGTAAGTTGTGCTTCAATTTATTTGACAAGGAAATTTTTTTTCCTTTATTGATTTCAGAGAGAGGGAGGGAGAGGGAGATCTAGAAACATCGATGAGGGAGAACCTTGATTGGCTGCCTCCTGCAAGTCCCCTACTGGGGATATGGCCCACAATCTGGGCATGTGTCCTAACCTGTAATTGAACCAGCGACTTCCTGGTGCATGGGTCAGTGCTCAACCACTGAGCCACACTGGCCAGATTTGACAAGGAAATTTTATAAAATATTTCTCCCTTCAGAGTTGGTTTTAGATTGCTTTTCTTTAAAAAAAAAATTTTTTTTTTCTTTATTGATATTAGAGAGAGAAAGGGAGAGATAAAAATATTGATGAAAGAGAACATTGATTGGCCACCTCCTGCACACCCCTCACTGGGGACCAGGCCCACAACCAGGGCATTTGCCCTGATCAGGAATCGAACCAACGACCTCTTGGTGCGTGGGTCAGTGCTCAACCATTGAGCCACCCTGAACGGGCTAGATTGCTTTTCTCATGTTTTTATGGCCCTGTATTTAAGAACATGCTCTCATATCTTTATTTCTCTCTTACTTCAGAAATACATACCGCATGATTGAACAAGATGACTTTGACATTAACACCAGGCTACACACGATTGTTAGAGGGGAAGATGAGGCAGCCATGGTCGAGTCAGTAGGCCTGGCCCTAGTGAAGCTACCAGATGTCCTTAATCGCCTGAAGCCTGATATCATGATTGTTCATGGAGACAGGTTTGATGCTCTGGCACTGGCAACGTCTGCTGCCTTGATGAACATCCGAATCCTTCACATTGAAGGTGGGGAAGTCAGTGGGACCATTGACGATTCTATCAGACATGCCATAACAAAACTGGCTCATTATCATGTGTGCTGCACCCGAAGTGCAGAGCAGCACCTGATATCCATGTGTGAGGACCATGATCGCATCCTTTTGGCAGGCTGCCCTTCCTATGACAAACTTCTGTGTGCCAAGAACAAAGACTACATGAGCATCATTCGGATGTGGTTAGGTATGTATCAGACTTTTTTCAGTCTAATGGTTGTGTTTTTCAGTGTTGGGTGTGTTTCAGTCCTTTCAGAAACTATTGTGGATAGAATATTCCATTAGCAATCAGAAGGCTAAAGTTTTAGTTCATAGAACTTTCCCTGTGGTATGAATTCACCTCTCTGAGACTCACCTTTTCTGTATAATAGGCTTGCTTTAATGGATTGAATCTATGATATACTTATACAGTGGAATGCTTTTAATCATGAAATATACATAGCAAAAAGGGAGGAAAAAGCAAGCTAAAAAATTTATTTATTATATGATGCCATTTTTATGAAAACAGTAACATAATGGGGAGTTTAAGGAAGTATGTACACCAAGTCATTTATATTTATTTCTGGTTAGTAGAATTATGGGTGTTTTTATTTTTGTTTTCCTTTGATTTTTAGTACAATGACAAATTTGTTATTTTTAATTCTCACGTCTTTCTTATGATTGTTGGAATACTCTGATGAGATAATGTTGAAAGCTGTTAGCAAGTCATAAGTACTTTTTTTTTTATCCTCACCCGAGGATATTTTTTCCATTTTTTATACAGATAGAGTGGGAGGGAGAGAGAGGAAGGGAGAGAGAGAGAGAAACATCGACGTGAAGGGACACATCGAGTGGCTGCCACCCGCACGACCAACCAGGGCCGGGGACAAACTGCAACCGAAGTACGTGCCCTTAGCGGGAACCGAACCCGGGTCTCTCTGGACCACAGGCCGATGCTTTAACCGCTGAGCCAAACTGGCCAGGGCAGTCATAAGTACTTATTGAAAGGGGTTATGGTGATTATTATTAAAAGCAAAAGTCATAGCTGTACCATTAGAGTTAGTCACCTCTGTCAATAAGCATTAAGGTCTGAAATCTTCAATGTTCAATGATCTAGCCTCCTGGAAATTACCTTTTGCTAGTCAGAGGCAAAGAAAATAGGTTTATAAACAGAGTCTCATTTGGTTAATTTATAGTGAGAGTACTAGCTAGAAAAAAAATCAGGGTTAATCATCTGTTTAGGTATTTAGGACTCTCCTTTTTAAAGAGGTAGGTCTTTTATAATGAAGTTAATGAATAATAAAATTGATGTGGTGATTGTGTACTCAAAGTGATTGTGTACATTTTAAATCAGATCACATTAAATCAGGAAAGGGATCAGGCTTTCCTACCTTATAAGTTAATCCATTCTACATATTTCTTATTCTTTCCAATACCTACAAATTTGTAGGTATTAAGGAACCAGTCGAGATAATGCTGGTGGAACGAACTTGTCTCTTTTAGTCTCCCCTTTTTGTATGCTTTTAAGTAAATATTCTTTCATTCTGTTCTGATTATACTGTTAACTCTATATGTATTCTGAAAAACTTTGGATTTTTAAAAAACTTGTAATGAATAAAAAATAATCCTTATAAAGTTTAATGCAGCAAGCTTGTACTCATAGGGCTTAAGGTTCTATTTGGAACCATATGAGCAGTTTCTTTTTTTTATTAAAATTTTTTTTTTCTTTATTGATTTTAAGAGAAAGGAAAGGAGAGGTGGAGGGAGATAGAAACATCAGTGAGAGAGAACATTGATTGGCCGCCTCCTGCATGCCCCCCACCAGGATTGGACCCACAACCTTCGCATATGCCCTGACCAGGAATTGAACTGGCGACCTCTTGGTGCATGGGTTGATGCTCAGCCACTGAGCCACGCAGCAGGGCTTGAGCAGTTTCTTTATAAAAAGAAAGATGACAAAATAGCAAAAACTAGATTAAAAAAATAACAGTGTGTGGGTGGGGCATGGGGTAGAACAAGACAGTGAGCCCAGGCCACCTACCCCTAGGAATGATACATTGTGTTAAGTCTGTACCTGCTTCTTCTGGTGTTTATTACCTTATTTATAGGAAAAATAATGTTGGGTAGGTCACTCAGAATATGCAACTTTATAACTAGAATATTAATAAATAACAGTCCTAATAAAAATATTCACAAAATTAAAAAGACATTAAATCCAGATATTGAAAGAAATGCTACAGTAAATAAACAAAATGATGGTACCTTAATGGAAAGGGTTGTGTGGAAAAGCTGAAGCTGCCGAGTTCTGGAGATTAAGGCAGAGTGATAATGTTAGAAGTTGTGCACTGAGAAGCAGGTGTCGACTTTGCACAAAATGTATTATTGCCAGAGAAGGGTAGTGATAGGTAGCTCCAGCTCATTGTCCTGTGTTTTCTTTTTCACTAGATTTTGCTCTTTTGCCATCCTTCTTTTATAAAGAAACTGGTTCCATATAGAGTCTTAAGTTAAAAAGTGCAATCCTGTTGCATTCTGCATTGTATGGTTATTTTCTATACAATGCAGATGTTTCTTAATCACACTTAAAAGAGAAGATAAGTGGGAAGTGGAAAGCTCTCATGGGGTTAACTGTTGGGATTTTTCTCCTTCATCACCTTCCACTTATCCCTTAGCAGTAAGTTTTAGCAATGAGTTATATAGAATGACCCTTTGCATGGACTGCAAGAGCTCTATAAGAACATCCTTACTATCAAAGAAAAATTGCCACCAAAAAAAAAAAAAGAGCCCTGGCTGGTATGGCTCAGTGGTTAGAATGTCAGCCCGTGGACCAGAGAGTCCGGGGTTTGGTTTCCACTGGGGCATGTACCTTGGTTGCGGTTCGTCCCTGGCCCCAGTTGGGGTCGTGTGGGTGGCAACCAGTCGATGTGTCTCTCTCATGTCGATGTTTCTCTCTCTCTCTTCCTCCCTCTCTCCCTCCGACTCTATCTGAAGATAAATGCAAAAACGTCCTCAGGTGAGGATCAAAACACCCTGAAAGTGTTCTCACGACAGAGTATATGGGCACACTGAACCAAGAGAAAGAATGTGGGGTGAAGGGGCCCTCTTGACAAGTGCTGTATTTCTCCATAGCTTGTGTACATTTATGTTAAGGTTCTTTGTATCCAGCCACGGGGAATCATGCATGAATAATTCAACTACTGCATTAAAGGCTACAGCATTCTTTTATTTACCAGTCACAGAGGAGCTAATTCACATTATAGAAACGTGCATTATAGTGGAACCAACTTGTACTGTATCTTTTATCTCTTTTATTGTTATTTCTTTCCCCATAGTTTCTAATGGCCCTGATCTGTATCTAGTGAATTACCTAAATTTATGTTGATCTCATCTTTCTAGACTTCTGTTTCTGATAGATTCTCTTAGGCCTTTAGGTCTTTTACTTACTTTGCACAAAAATATAATTACATCACCCAAACCCCAGTTTAGAATATAATATAGAACCAATAACTTTTAAAATATAATTGGGGAACCTATAGTCTTTTAAATCAAGTAACTACTGAAGTTTCTTTTTTTTTCTTTAATCTTCATCTGAGGATATTTTTCTATTTATCTTCAGATAGAGTGAGAGTGAAAGGAGAGAGAGAAAGAGAGAGAGATAGAAAGAGAAACATCGACATGAGAGAGACACATCAATTGGCTGCCTCTTACATGACCCCGACCAGGGCCAGGGACTGAACCACAACCGAGGTACGTGCCCTTGACCGGAATCAAACCCGCAACTCTTCGGTCCACGGGCCGACACTCTAACCACTGAGCAAAACTGGCCAGTGCTGAAGAGTCTTAGTAAAAATTCTGTTACCATTAAATAATAAAAATAACTGCTACCGTTTGAATTTGGAGATTAATGATAAACTTACAGTATATTGAAAAATTGATAAACTTACAGTGTATTGAAAAATATATTCTCATTAAAAATGAGTGGAGTCATCTAGTAAATGTTCTGTGTTCTTTGGCATAGCACTCTCCATCTGAACCATTTACACTTCAGATCTTTGCTGAGGAACTGTCCTTGGGGTCCCAGCATGGGGATAAGCGAAGCCGTTCTATTCCTTTGAACAGAGTTAGAAATACCTGCCATTTGTCGAATCTGGTGGGTAATAGTATGGGGAAGCTTCTATGAAATATATTAAATGCTCATTCAATCTCTAAATGCCCTGATTTGCAACAAATTATTTATTATTCATTGATATTGCTGATAATTCATTAGAAACACTAGTTAGAAACTGGGAAGATTCACATTTTGAAATATTTTGGATTCTAATGTCTTCTATTTAATAAAGTTACATATTTTACAAAAGACTTAAATGTGACTCATGAATCCATAAAAATCCTAGAAGAAAATGTAGGCAACAATATTACAGACATCTCATGCAGCAGAATTTTCACTAATACAATGCCTAAGGCAAGAGAAATAAAGGAAAAAAATGAACACATGGGACTACATCAAAATAAAAACCTTCTGCACAGCAAAAGAAACAAGCATCAAAATGGAAAGGGAGCCCTGGCCAGTTTGGCTCAGCGGTTAGAGTGTCGGCCTGCGGTCCGGAGAGACCCGGGTTCGGTTCCCGCTAAGGGCACGTACTTCGGTTGCGGTTTGTCCCCGGCCCTGGTTGGTCGTGCGGGTGGCAGCCACTCGATGTGTCCCTTCATGTTGATGTTTCTCTCTCTCTCTCCCTTCCTCTCTCTCCCTCCCACTCTATCTGTACAAAAAATGGAAAAATATCCTCGGGTGAGGATAAAAAAAAAACAACAAAAAAAATGGAAAGGGAACCCACTATATGGGAGAGCATAATTGCCAATGATACATCAGATAAGGGGCTAATTTCCAAAATATATAGAGTACTCATACAACTCAACAAAAGGAAGACAAAGAACCCAATTAAAAAATGGGCAGAGACCCTGGCCGGTTTGGCTTAGCAGTTACAGCATTGGCCTGCAGTCCAATGAGTCGCGGGTTCGATTCCAGTCAAGGGCACATACCTAGGTTGTGGTTTGTCCCCGGCCCTGGTCAGGTTCGTGTGGGAGGCAACCAGTCAATGTGGCTCTATCACACTGATGTTTCTCTCTGTCTCTCTCCCTCCCTCCCACTCTATCTGATAATAAGTAGAAAAATATTCTCAGGTGAGGAATTAAAAAAAGGTAGGCAGAGGACCTAAATAGACACCTCTCCAAACAGGACATGCAAATGGCCAAGAGACATATGAAAAAAATGCTCAACATCACTAATCATCAGAGAGATGTCAGTTAGAACAACTCTGAGGTATCACCTCACACCTGCCAGAATGGCTGCCATCAACAAATCATTAAACTAGTGCTGGCGAGGTGTGGAGAAAAGGGGACTCTAGAACACTGCTGGTGGGAATGCAGACTGCTGCAGCCACTGTGGAAAACTGTATGGTGTTATCTCAAAAAATTAGAAATTGAACTGCCATTTGACCCAGTGATCCCACTTCTAGGAATATACCCTAAGAAGCCTGGAACATCAGTCAGAAAGAATATATGTACCCCAGTGTTCATAGCAGCACTATTTACAATCGCTAAGATTTGGAAACAGCCCAATTGGCCATCAATAGAGGAGTGTACAAAAAAGCTGTGGTACATAACACAATGGAATACTTTGCAGCTGTAAGAAAGATCTCTTATCCTTTGAGATGGTTTGGAAGGACCTGGAGAGTATTATTCCAAGCAAAACAAGCCAATCGGAGAAAGACATATCACATGATCTCACTTATTTGTGGAATATAATGAACAAAACAAGCTGAGGAACAAAATAGACCCAGAGACATGGAAATGGAGTGCAGACTGACAAACCTCAGAAGAGGTGGATGGGGGGAGGGAAGAGATAAACCACAGAACTTATATGCATGTATGCGTAAACAAGGACATTGACAATAATACTGGGGGATGGGAGAGTGGGATTGGGAGGAGGGTGTCAATGGGGGGAAAAGGAGAAACATCTGTAACAAAAATAAATAAATATTTAAAAAATAAAACTATTTTTATAAAAAGAATGGTAAATTCAGTATCTAACAAAGTATGAACAAATTCTAAGTATTTACATAGTAATAATAATAATAATAAAGCCAAAAAAAAATAAAGTTACATATTTCGTTTGCAGTAGCAAGCACCTTTGTAAAATGTTAAGTTTGCTGATTCCTTGGACTTGTTATAAGTTATTATCATTTAAACCTAATTTGGATGGCCTGCTTAAAATGAAACAAACTTTTGTTTTTTTCTTAGCATTTTTAAAAGCACAGACTTTGGGGTCTGCCTTTTGGAATTTGCTTCTTCCTCCTGTCAGATTCTTATCTAATGAAGTATTGTGGTTTGATTTTCTTTAAACAGGTGATGATGTAAAACCTAAAGATTACATTGTTGCTCTACAGCACCCTGTGACCACTGACATTAAGCATTCTATTAAAATGTTTGAGTTAACACTGGACGCACTTATCTCATTTAACAAGCGGACCCTAGTTCTGTTTCCAAACATTGATGCAGGTAATTGGACTTGAAAATGAAAGTATGCCACCCGCCTTTCCAGTTGTATGTTTCTATTATGTCTTCTTTTGACTGCCCTTCCTGTCTTGCTCATTTTATATTGAAGGCTGTTCTCTTCTGAAATGTGTTCCGGTTTTCAAAGGATCACCAATTTTACAGTAGATTGAAGAGATTGTGATGTTTTTGTCAAATCTAGTAGAAACTTAATAGGTAAGAAATAAATATTAAAAAAGAAAAGATCTCTCTAATCTTCACTGTAGTTTTATGTTAAATCTCTTCCCTCCAGTTTGCACCAGTGAGAAAATGCAGTAGACAAGAGACAAATCCTAGAAGTTGAAAGAATGTCTTTAGGAAAGCAATGATCCCACTGACCACAGTAAAATAGCCATTATTATTCTTTCTTGTTCTCTTCTTTATATTAACTGTATCTTAGAGTAATCTTGAGCTTAAACGATTTAGATCTAGAGTCCCCAGTTGATCCTCAAGCCTGACCTGGTTGATCACTGACCATTGGATGGTACTGTAGGTTTTGGTACTAGTGAGACTTTAACCATGTTCATGGGGATGTGAGATATAAATGAGAAATGACAGAGCAGGGCCTGACACTCAGGAATTTTCAAATACTGGTTATTATCTCATTGCTGAGTCCTTAAGGCATTTTACGGTAAAGGAGGCAGGACCCCTTTCTGCAATGTCAAGCTGTCACCATCTTTCTCTGAAAGAATTCTTATCTTAGTGTCTCTAATAATCTTTACTGTTAGGGGAAACAAAGTAGAGTTTTTTGGTTTTTTTTATCCTCACCCGAGGATACTTTTACATTAATCTTCAGATAGAGCTGGAGGGAGAGAGGGAGGAAGATTGAGAGAGAGAGAGCAAAACATCGATGTGAGAGAGACACATTGATTGGTTGCCACCAGCATGACCCATTTGGGGCCGAGGACGAACCGCAACTGAGGTATGTGCCCTGGGCTGGAATTGAACCTGGGACTCTTTGGTCCGTGGGCGACGCTCTTACTGCTGAGCCATACTGGTCAGGGCCAAAGTAGAGGTTTTAATTGAAAAAACCCACAACCCAGATTTTTTCCAGGCAATTTATTAATATTTCAAAAACCTTAATATTTCTTCTTTTATAATCCTTTAAACTTTTGTATAAATACTTGTAATATAATTATATATATCTCACTTGTTCAGTATTAATCATTGTCAATGATATTTTATTTGTAATATACTTTCCTGATTATATATACTTTAAATTAGAAATATTGCCCTGGCGGTTTGGCTCAGCAGTTAGAGCATTGGCCTGCAGACCAGGAGTCCCAGGTTCGGTTCCCGCTAAGGGCACGTACCTCGGTTGCAGTTTGGCACTGACCTTGGTTGGGGTCATTTAGGTGGCAGCCAGTTGATGTGTCTCTCTCACATTGATGTTTCTCTCACTGTCTCTCTTCCCCCTTCTCTCCCTCCCACTCTATCTGAAGATAAATGTAAAAATGTCCTTGGGTGAGGAGATATATATATATATATATATATATTATATATATGTATGTATATTTTTCCCTCTGAAAGTAAAGGGTCCTAGGAATGCCTAAATAATGCCTGCCATTCACCTCTCTTTCTCACAGAGTTTTTGATAAAATATACACAAGGAACAATAGGGAAATAAGAATCAAGGCATTACTTTCTCATTATCTGCTTAGTGCCCAGTTCCCCAATGTAGAACTTTCTGGAAAGCATGATTAGTACCTGTGACTTAGGCTGAAGGCCAAAGACTGGCCTTCAGCTGAGCCCAAATCTGAATCTTGGAATAGTAGCACCTTCTGATGTTCTGCAATAACTATAGGTGTGGCTGGGCCTGCACTAAAGAGTTAGACCCTGAGTCTATTCACTACATAGAGAAAGTTAAAATGAGAGAGAACACTGCATTCCCAGCTTCTGTTGAATCAATGGCTACTGCCCACTGGTGAATGCAGTGTGGTTTCTCTCCTGCCTTCTAACCAAACAGATTAGCAACTCTGCCTCCCCTGGTAGTTAGGAAGGGGGAGTAGAGAGGCAAGCAGAGAGGCATTAAATGTTGCCTCTCCTCATATATCTGTAACATTTTTTAAGACATGCGTTTAAAATAAGATAACATCTACAGTATCAGAATATCTGTACTTTCTTGGAGCTTAGTCCACGTGAGTGGGAGTGCTGTCCCACTGAGCTGTTGTCAGCTTGGTGTGTGGAGTCTGAGACCTTTCCATTTAGGAACTCCCAACTGCTGCTGTTTAAATTTTCTAGATGAGTGGAAGCAGAGAGCTGACTGGACAACTAGTTTAGATAGTCATCACTCATGAAAAGATCAACAATTAAAATGACTATTTCCTAATAACTGTTATGAGTCTTTATGGGGAGATTTCTTTAAGTGGGGCTATACTTGCCAATGAAAATTGTTTATCTCAAACCATGTAACAATTGGTTCTTTTCATTTTCACAGGGAGCAAAGAGATGGTTCGAGTGATGCGGAAGAAGGGCATTGAGCATCATCCTAATTTTCGTGCAGTTAAACATGTCCCATTTGACCAGTTTATACAGTTGGTTGCCCACGCTGGTTGTATGATTGGGAACAGCAGTTGTGGGGTACGAGAGGTTGGAGCTTTTGGAACACCTGTGATCAACCTAGGAACACGTCAGATTGGAAGAGAAACAGGTATCTACTTTTGCTTGTATTTCAACTTACTATGCTTAATACATATGTATGAATTATTTACAAGGTATGCATGTGTCAGTGATGACAATATTGTTATCAATAAGTGAATGAATGAAGTTATTAACCAGTTGTAGCCTATAAATAACACACAGTGATTACCAAATATTTTTAGGGCACTTACATTTTTATCGTCTTTGTAATATCAGTTAGAGCTAAGAGTTTCTTAGTTAATTGTGGTCTTTGATTGCTGTGTTTAAGAGAGAATGTAGTTGGCCAGGCTGGTGTGGCTTAGTGGTTGAGCATCGACCCATGTACCAAGAGGTCACCAGTTCAATTCCTGGTCAGGGCACATACCCAGGTTGTGGGCCCAATCCCCAGTGGGGGACATGCAGAAGGTGGCCAATTGATGTTCTCTCTCAATGATGTTTCTATCTCTCTCTCCCTTCCTCTCTCTCTAAAATCAATAAAGAAAAAAAAATTTTTTTTTAAAAGAGCATGTAGTTGAATGTGTTATCAATATATGAATGCTAGTCTTTCATTTTCTAGGCTTAGTAGAGTCCCTTTAGTCAGCACTTTAGAGCATGGCAATTCTAAGTAAGATGCCTCCTTAATTAAAGTGTAAGCAGGATTATTATTAATGAATTTACTAACTGAGCTTATCTATTATTAACATTAGTCTGAGTTCTAATACTGTCTACATGCAAATACATTTTTTTAGCTAATGGGAAAATGTATGTAGTTCATAGAAAAAGAACTTGACTAGAATCAAGGACATTACTTCCAGCTGTTTCTCCTGTTCTTCAAATTGCCACCCTAACTTCGTCTTGTCTTTAAACCTTCTTCCCTTTCATTCCCAAAGTATTGTTTTGCTCCCTACTTCACAGAGAAAATGGAAGTCATCAGATGAAAATTCTTTCAACTTTATTAATTCATTCATTAAGATAATATTTAATAAGCCCCTACTATGTACTAAGCACTGGGATTCAGCAGTAAACTAGTCTGAAAAGGGTTGAGCTCTCATGTAACTTCCATTCTAGTGGGAGGAGGGGTAGATGATAGACAAAAACAAACAAACAATAAATCCGGCTGTGTGCTGTCCAGATTATAACAACAGGTAATGTGTGGGCTACATTCGATGGGATAAGGGAAGGCTTCTTTTAGAAAATAACACTTAAGCTGAGATATGAATGACAAGGAATTAGCTATGTGAGGATCAGGGAGAAGCAGAAGAAAAAGCCACTATGGAGACCCTAAGACAGGAATAAGCTTAATGTATCTGAGAAACGGAAGTGTCAGAGTAGCTGTAACGGGCAAGAAGAAGAGTGGCTACAAGATGATGTTACAGAAAGAGGCAGACCTAAGCCAAGGTAAATAATTTGGATTTTTTTTCCAAGTATAATGGGAAGCCATTTAAGAGAGAAGTGACACAATATTTCTTGCATTTTGGAAAGATCATCTGGCTGCTATATTAGAGTGGAATGTGGTGGGCGGGGCAGGAGCAGAAGTGGGGAGAAGAGTTAAGAGATTTTCAGTCCATATGAGAAATGATAGTGGCTTCATCTATGTGGTATTAAAGATGGAGAAATGCTAGATTTGGGGTTTGTTGTAGTGCTTGCCGATGCTTGGATATGAGCAGTGAAAGAAAGAAAGGAATCGATGATAACGCTTAGATTTTTGGATTGGGGTAGTCTTTCTGATATGGGGGACACGGAGGGAGAAGCAGATTTGGGAGGGATGGATTTAAGAGTTCTCTAATGGCCATGTTAAGTTTGAGAAGCTTTTAGATATCAAAGTGGAGGTGGACCATAAGCAGTTAGTTCCAGGGAGAGTTAGTGTTAAAGATGAATTTGAGAATGATTGGCATGCAGGATGGTATTCAGTTAGGATATCAGTTCAGCTGCTGCAACAGAGACACCCAAAATAACAGTACCTTATGTTAGATTTTTTTTGTTTCTTACTGTTAACGCGAGACTTAGCCTCCATCTATCTTGGTGTTGAATCCACATTTTAGCCATTGGAAAGGGAGCAAAGGGAAGATGTCCTTCCCTTTAAAAATACAACCTGGAAGATGCAAATATTTCTTCATACATCCTATCAGAATGTAGTCACATGGCCACATCTAGCTGCAAAGGAAGCTGAAGAATATACTCTAGCTGGATGATCAGATGCCCAGAAAAAATTCTGGTACTAGTGCATGGGAAGAATATTGAGGATAATGGCACACTCTGCTTGAGATGGTATTTAAAATCAAGGGACTAAATGAGATTACCCAGGGAGAACATATAAATATAGGGAGGAGAATGGAGCCCAGGGCCAACCTCTGAAGCTCTTCCGCATTTAGAGTTCTGGTGAGGAAGGGAAGGCCCATCAAGGAAGACTGAAAAAGAGCTGTCACTGAGTTCAGAGGAAACCAGGAGCGTGGTATCATTAAAGCCCAGAAAAGAAAGTGTTTCCAGAAGATGGTATTGAATGCTGCAGAGAGTTCAAATAAGGTGTGAACAGAGAATTTAACACTGGATTGAGCAATGTGGTCTTCTGTCAAAAGCAGTCTCTGTACTTTCTGCCACCACCTTTTATAAACACATGCCTATCCATCCTTTCCTTCTTACCTTCTTTACATATGAGGCTTCTTTTGCCTGTCCACTGTTAGCCTTCTGTGTTCTAAATCACCCCTTCTGCCTTCTTAGGACTTATCAGTTACCCTTTCTCTCCCATGTATCTTTAGCTTCCATGTATCATTTAAACATGTCTGGGCCTCTCATAGCTTAAACACAAAACAATAAAAATAACCCCTTCCTGCCCTGGCTGGTTTTGCTCAGTGGTTAGAGCGTTGGCCCGTGGACCAGTGAGACCTGGGTTTGATTCTGGCCAAGGGCACATACCTCCGTTGCAGTTTGTTTTGTTCCCGGCCCTGGCACGGGTCACGTAGGAGACAACCAGTCGATGTATCTCTCTCACATCAGTGTTTCTCTCTTTCTCTCTCTCCCTCCTAACCTGTCTAAAGATAGATGGAAAAATATCCTCAAGGTGAGGATAAAAGAAAAAGTTAAAAATAACCCCTTCCTGGCCTTGGCCAGTTTGGTTCAGTGTTATAGAGTGCTGGTGTGTGCGCTGAGGGTTGCAGGTTCCATTTCCAGTCAAGGGCATGTACCTGGGTTGCAGTTTCGATCCTCAGCTCCAGTTGGGACGCATACAGGTGGCAACCAGTTGATGTATCTTTCTCACATCGATGTTTCTCTCTCTCCCCTGCCTCCTCCCTCCCTTCCACTCTCTATAAAAATCAATGGAAAAAATATCCTTGAGTGAGAATTAATAAAAATAAATAAATAAAAAATAGTCCCTTCCTTGACCCCATACCTCTCTCCAGCCACCACCCTTCTGGCTCTTCTCATCTTAGCAAAATCTATTGAAAAACATGGCATTTTCACTGTATCTACTCCTTCATATTGGTCAGAAACTGCATGGAGAGAAGGTGACTGCCTGAACAGCTGATGGCGAACTGACCACCCTGGCCTGACCAGCTTGATTGGACAACTGGCTAAGTAGACAGGAGGCAGGGCAGACTGAGAGTGGACATGCTAGATGACTAGATGAGTGGCAAGTGGAATCTAGATTAATCCACCTTATCTATTTCAATAAACATACAAAAACTTGATTTATTTTCTTTGGGAATGAAGGACTCTAGTGCCCTTAAGTGTTTGATATATGGAATCTTGCTGAGCGTGCTTTGAAAGGTATACAGTAGAAAAGTTGATGTCTCTCTAAAAGAAGAAAATCCATTTGGAGTCCTCTGGGTTTCGGGGATGATTATGAGGTTAACACACTGCTAATTTCTTTATTCTTTGGATATTGCTACTTCTGAATCATTGTACTGTGTCACTGGCTTTACCTAGGGGAGAATGTCCTTCATGTCCGGGATGCTGATACCCAAGACAAAATATTGCAAGCACTGCACCTTCAGTTTGGTAAACAGTACCCTTGGTGAGTATATGCCCTCTTTTCTAAAGCGATTTAAATGAGGAGCTGCCTTGGGCATCATTTCCAAGCTGTGATCACTTTTAATCATCCTAACAGAGCTCTCACTATCCATTCCCAGGGTCCCCAGCTGGTGGTGAGACAGGGCTTGCTAATATGCCCCCTATTACTGTGCCAAGGGTTCTGATGGAGAATAATTTTTTATTTGTCTCAGTTAACTAACATAGCTAGGAAATATTTCTGTAGCCTACTTTGAATTTCCATAAGTATTATATCAGAAAGTAATATAACTGATTTTCTTTAAAAATAGTCTAGTTCACCCTAAAGGCACAAGTAAAAAAAAGTCTAGTTCAGCATTTTAACTTAGAGTACTCTCCTTTCTATTTCAAATTAATGAAATTTTCCTGTATTTGAATGTTTGTTTCTGAAAATAACCCCCCTCACGAATATAAAGATAAAAACTAAAAAAACAAACAAAAAAATTGTCTCAAACTATGTTATATTCTAAAATTGGCTTTACAAAGATAACTTTTCTTTGATAATATAGGCATTTTTTAATGGTATCTCAGGCTGGTAATAGTTGTATTTCAGTCAACAGTGGAATTTGACATTGCATTGGTGACACGAAGCTGCTTACTTAACTGTATTGCTAAAGAGATCCAGATGTTGTAATTTTTTTCCTTTATTGATTTTTTTACAGAGAGAGGAAATGAGAGGGAGAGAGAGGTAGAAACATCAATGAGAGAACATTGATTGGCTGCCTCCTGCATGCCCCCCACTGGGGATCGGGCCTACAACCTGGCATGTGTCCTGACCAGGAATCAAACTGGGGACCTCTTGGTGCATGGGTTGATGCTCAACCACTGAGCCACATCGACCATTACAGGTGTTGTTATTTTAAAAGGAAAAACTGTTTATTACCTCAAGTCTGAGATTCCATAATACCATGTCCTCAATATCATTTAGCATGAATGAGAAAAGCATTTAATTGGACTCTTTGGATATTGCAGTTCAAAGATATATGGAGATGGAAATGCTGTTCCAAGGATTTTAAAGTTTCTTAAATCAATTGATCTTCAAGAGCCACTACAGAAGAAATTCTGCTTTCCTCCTGTGAAGGACAATATCTCTCAAGACATTGACCATATTCTTGAAACTCTGAGTGCCTTGGCTGTTGATCTTGGTGGGACGAACCTCCGAGTTGCAATAGTCAGCATGAAGGTAAAAGAACTCCAAGGTCTTAACTTTATATCGCATATGAATAATTGATTTTTAAAAAGGATTGGAAGGTAAGACTAGAAACATACATGAAAGTTTGCCCACAGTATTGGCTTTTTTGATCCATTACAATGTTTATCATTAGTTCACTAATCATTAACATTTCAAAGAAGTAAAATTTCAGGGAAGCCAAGTTAGGAGACTTGAGTTGACAATGGGAGATGCCTTCGGCCCCAGAGAGGGCTTTTGCCACCCTGGAGATCTGAACTTCTGCATTTGGTTAACAGCTTGGATTGTGGAGTATGCTGATTGCTTATTGCCCAGGTAGGGTGTCTGCAGCAGATGTGAGGGGAATTGAATCTCCTCTAGAACATGATTTTAGTTGGGTACAGCATACTCTCAGTCCCTTAACCAAACCATCACCAGTGTTGACAGAGGTTGAGAGAACCTTTATAAAAACACCAAATTGTCCATGTGAAAATGATTTCACAAGGAAGAATAAACTCACCAGAAAAATCTTTGTTTGAAATATTGTCTATATATATAATGAAGTTTCAGGAGTTCATTAGAAATAGCACAGATTTTAAACATTAAGTTATTTAGGTCAATATAGAAAAGCAAAACAGAATATGATTTTCTCAAGAGAATCCAAAAGGCCTCCTTTATTAATACTCTTTACAAAGTAGTAATAGAATATTCTCTTAACATAAAGATGATTTATTTCATATTAGTGGCCAACACCCTTTGTCATGGTGAAATTCTGGAGGAAAAGAACGCTGTTTTCTACATTTTTTAACATAATTCTGGAAGTTATGAAGGGAATAAAGCATGGAACAAACAGCAAAAATGGAGATTGTGGACAGGGTAAAACACAAAATGTTATTTATAGACAATGTGAATAAACCAACAACATTATAGAAGTAAGAAAATTGAGTAAAATGGCTAGATATTATGATAAATATATATCTCTATATGAAATTTTAGGCAATTAGTTTTCCTTTAGGTGACTGTCAACCTGACTGCACAATAGCATTATCTGGAACCTTTAAAAAAATCTACAGATACCTAGCTCCCACTCCAGACTAATTAAATTGGAATCTCGGGGGTGGAAGCCAGGCATCAATATTTGTTCAAAGCTGCCCAGGTGATTCTGATGCACAGTGAAGGTTGAGAATAACAACTTTAGGTTTAATGTCAATCATTAGTGACAGCTTTAACCTTCATAAATGTATAAAAATCCATTAATACCAGAAGAATGGAAAAAGATCCTATTTAGAACAACACAATAAAAACTTCTAAGAATACTCCAAACCAGACAATTATGTGATCTGTATAAAGAAAATTACAAAACTTCACTGTGAAATGTACTGGCTTGAGAAATATCCTGGATGTGAGTGCCAGGTATTTTTGAAATGTCAGCACTTTCCAAATTGAATTATAAATTTAACATAATTTCAGTAAACATTTCAATGAAATTTTTTAAAGTTTAACAACATTATTCTGAAATTTACTTAAAATAATGCCCAAGTGAGAAGAACAAAGAAAAAAATTAAAAACAAGAATAATTAGGAGGGACTATCCCTGATTGGTGTTAAAACATATCACAAAACACAGTAATTTAAACATCATGGTACCATACCATTATTGGCTTTAGTTGTGGGAGATGATTAAAGCTTAAATACTTAGGATATTTACTTAGCTGCAGTAGTATTTAAGCAAGGAAAATATGTCAACCTGAAAGAGTAAAATATGACCTTTATTTCTTTTTTATAATCCTCACCCGAGGACATTTTTCTATTTTTCATTCAGATAGAAAGGGAGGGAGAGAGAGAAAGAAACGAGGACGTGAAAGGGACACATCGAATGGCTGCCACCCGCACGACCCAATCAGGACTGGGGACAAACTGCAGCCCAGGTACATGCCCTTAGCAGGAACTGAACCCAGGTCTCTCTGGACCGCAGGCCGACGCTCTAACTGCTGAGCCAAACCGGCGAGGACTAATGTATGACTTTTTAATGAAGATTCAGATTAGCCAACATTGACCTTATGCTTAAGAGGGTCCCATCTGGTTGGTTCTGGAGTTGTCATTGCTTCAACAGCCATATGCCAGAAAGGCTTCCAGGAAATGACTTGGGTATATCCTAGGGCTGGCCCAGACCAGACAGTGGCTGTCTTCTGAAGCAGTCATCGTAATCTGTAGCACTGTCCCACGGCAGTGTCTAATATGTCATGAAAAAGGCCTTAGCTAAGACCATTGAGACAGAGAGTGTTTTTTCTCTTTTAGGGTGAAATAGTTAAGAAGTATACTCAGTTCAATCCTAAAACCTATGAAGAGAGGATTAATTTAATCCTTCAGATGTGTGTAGAAGCTGCAGCAGAAGCTGTAAAACTGAACTGCAGAATTTTGGGAGTAGGTAAGGTTATAAATTACATATCCAAGAAATGTTCATTTTAGTGTACAAAATTACTGCATGACTGAACATCAAGTCACTGTCTATAGATGATTCCAGGTACTGTCTGTGGGCCCCAAGCACGGGGTCTTCCCAGGACACCAACAAGCATTTTGGGAGAAGCAATGAAAATACTGCATATCTCTGAACTGCAGATTTAGCTCAAAACTGTTTGTCATTTCTTTGCAGTCCTTGGTAATGTTTGTCTTAGGATATGTTGGGTGAATTAATTTGTGTTCCAAGCCCAGGATGTTGGCACACTTTTCTAAGATTGCTAATTAGAATTATTTTCCTGTGTTTGTGGTGGAGCTCAGGTATTTCCACAGGTGGCCGTGTAAATCCTAGAGAAGGAATTGTGCTGCATTCAACCAAACTGATTCAAGAATGGAACTCCGTGGACCTCAGGACCCCCCTGTCTGACACTTTGCATCTCCCGGTGTGGGTAGACAATGATGGCAACTGTGCCGCCATGGCAGAAAGGAAATTTGGCCAAGGAAAGGGCCTGGAAAACTTTGTGACATTTATTACAGGCACAGGTAAGAGGAGTAAGAGGCAGTTGCTTTGGGAACCAGAGTGTGTACTGGGGCACACCTTTAACACCCAGCCAGGCAGTTTACAACTGTGCTCTAGCCTGCTTGAGTAGAGTGTGAGGGTGAGCCACACGGCAGAGCTGAGGGTCTGCCCAGGTCTCTTTAGAGCATGTATGTGGCCTTCTAAAATCTCACTGTCTTGTCACAGCTATTCAGAACCCTTATTCCCCAAAGCTGCTCATTCCCCAGCTTTTCCTCCCAGACTTTTTGGTTAGTATATTGTTTGCCTCCACTGTTACCCATTTCCCTAAGCAGCAAAGACTAATAAGTATATTTTGCCTTTAAATGTTTTTGACAAACACCCCTTGGGTGGCCCCTTGAGCCCTGGGAGAGTTCTGAGGTAGGTGAGATAAAGAAAGGCAAGCTCTGAGCTGGTTGAAACCACCACAATTTTTTAAGAATAAGGTTAGTTCAGCTTCCTCCAGTACTGCCATCTGTACTGTGAACATGGGATGCTGTCCAAGGCCACTGTCAGTGTGTGTGTGTGTGTGTGTGTGTTGGCGGGGGGGGAGGGGGGGATGGGACCAGAAAATGCCAGAAAGCTCTTACTAACATTCAGTTTTTTCTTGATTAAACATTCCCCTGGTTGTTGCAAACATTTGGTTAGTTTCCAGAGTTCCAAAAAAGTTGATTCTGATAGTCTTTGTCAGTTTATTTATTGCCTTAGTGGGAGAGGGATGGACTTTTGGCGTTCCCTACTCTGCCACTTTTGCTGATGTCCCAGTTTGTTTATAATTTTTAAAAAATCTTCACCTGAGGATATTTTTCCATTTATCTTCAGGTAGAGTGGGAGGGAAGGAGAGAAGGAAAGTGAGAAAGGGAAAGAGAAACATTGACGTGAGAGACACATCTACGGTTGCCTCCGGCACAACCCTGACCAGGGTCAGGGACTGAACCGCAACTGAAGTACGGACCCATGACTGGAATCAAACCTGCGACTCTTTGGTCTGAGGGCCAACACTCTAACCGCTGAACCAAATTGGCGAGGCTGTTTTTTTATAATTTTTAAAAATATGTTCTTATTGCCCTGGCCAGTTTGGCTCAGTGGTTAGGGCGTCAGCCAGCGGACCAGAGAGGCCCGGGTTTGGTTCCTGCTAAGGGCATGTACCTCGGTTGCAGTTTGTCCCTGACCCTGGTTGGGGTTGTGTGGGTGGCAACCACTCAATGTGTCTCACATTGATGTTTCTCTCTTTCTTCCTCCCTCTCTCCCTCCCGCTCTATCTGAAGATAAATGCAAAAAGTGTCCTCAGGTAAGGATTAAAAAATATATATGTTTTTATTGATCTATTAAAATATGTTTTTAATAGAAGGGAGAGAGAGATAGAAACACCAATGTAAGAGAGAAACATTGATCAGCTGCCTCCTGCATGCCCCCTACTGGGGATTGAGCATGTGTCCTGACCGGGAATCAAACCTGGACTTCTCAGTCCATGGGATAATGCTCAATCCATTGAGCCACACCAGCTGGGCCCATTTGTTTTTTTTTTAATCCTCACCTGAGGATATTTTTCTGTTTATCATCAGATAGAGTGGGAGGGAGGGAGAGAGCATGTGCCCAAGGGGAGGGGGAGAGAGAAAGAAAGAAACATTGATGTGAGAGAGACACATGGACTAGTTACCTCCCACATGACCCCACCAGGGCTGGGGACAAACCGCAACCAAGGTATGTGCACTTGACCGGAATTGGACTCACAACTTTTTGGTCTGCGGGCTGATGCTCTAACCGCTGAACCAAACCAGCCAAGGCCCAATTTGTTTTTTTAAATGAAGAAACAGCCTTAGCTAGTATGTCTAGCCAGCATTTGATCCTAGAAATGCCCAACTTCAACACTTGTGTGCTCTTAAACTCTACATTATACTACCTCCCCTTTAAGCTCATACAATTCTCTTAGTTTTAGACACAGTTTTAGCAAGCTTGGCTATCATTTCCTAGCACAGAGCAGTTAATAAGCTGCAAATGAGAGGGATGGGGTTTGAGGAGTAGATGCCACCAGAAGTAATAGATGGCGGGAAGACTAAAAAGGAGAGCCCACTAAGGCAAAATGCCTTCACTCCTTAGTAACTCAACTCCATAACAAGACAGTCATTGATATTCATAATTCCCGAATCACAGACTTTTAGACATGATATTAAGAAAAGGCAAAATCATATTTCATATTATGTTTAAGAAAGCAGGAGGTATTTGATACCTTAGAAAGACCGCCCCCAAAGCAGGGCCTGAGACGGGATTTAGATGTGGGCAGTGTATTTCGGCAGTGGCCCTGAGCAGCAGGCGTGAGGGAGTGGGGAGTGGAGAGAGCAGGAGGAGGGCCGTTAGAGGATACATGATCAAAGTTGCCTTGAGAGCAGTGGGGGCTGAAATCTATCAGAACCTCCCAAAAAGACTTCAGAATACCATCCAGAATTATCCACTTGGATCTGCTGGCTCGTGTCTTGCCCTGATTTAGGGTTGCCTCTGGGCACTGTGCTTACACAGCTGACTAGGCTCCTGGTGAGAACAGTGGGCAGTGTGTACCCGAAGTGGTCTCCTGTCATCACAAGGGGAGGCCGAGCTTGCATGAAGCTGTCCACTACAGCTGTGATGGAAACCATGGTGAGCCAGGCGGATGCAACACAGGGTATCAGAGGATCTGCTGAAGTTATTTCCATCCAAGATGATTCCAAATGAAGTTTGGGTACTTTAGCGTTAGCTTCGAGGAAAGTAGGCATTGTATAGAACCTCAGTTCCCAAAGCTTTCCTTGACGGATGAGGCAATGCCATATCAGTTTTCTGTTTCAGAAGAACCACCTCAATGATTGCTGTCTCTCCCTGTAGGAATTGGTGGGGGAATCATCCATCAGCATGAATTGATCCATGGCAGCTCCTTCTGTGCTGCAGAACTTGGCCACCTTGTCGTGTCTCTAGATGGACCTGATTGTTCCTGTGGAAGCCATGGGTGTATTGAAGCATATGCCTCTGGAATGGCCTTGCAGAAGGAAGCAAAAAAGCTACATGATGGTTGGTTTCTTTCTCCTGAGGGATTAAATAGTCAAATGGTAGAAAAGTACTTCAAAGTAGATATTCCAAAGAGAGCTGAACGCTGAAGCCAGAGCTTTAACCTTTCCCCTTTCTAGAAGAAAAGTGGGGCTCTCTCATACTGAAGCTCGAGTCCCCTTGGACCTGAGCCGTAGTGGTCCTCTTCCTCCGGTGGCGGAGATGGACAGGGGTCCTGAGCTCCAGGAGAGTGGGAAGGTTTCTTTCATTTTTGTTTCCTCAGCCGCTAGCACAGGGTAGGTACTTACCACACATTTTAATGAAGAATTAAATGGAGGAACATATTACAGTTTTTGAGCTCTAAAAGGTTTATTTGAACTGAAGCTGAAGTTTCTGGACATTATAAAAGTCAGGATGGTTTCCAGTCATTTAATATAACATAGTGTCTCAATTGCAGTGAGAATGATGGCCAACACATGTAGATGCATGTAAGGACCCCGGGCTCCCTCCCACCCTCTCCATACAGTGAGGAGCCTTAAGGTGCTGTCCTGAGAGGTCGCAGTCAGAGGGTAAATAGCACTAGTGAGGCAAGTTTGGATGAGCAGGGGAACATCTCCAAGTTTGGGAAACGGGTGTTGGTGCATAAAGTGCAGAGTATCATGTAGCAAGAGGTGAGCCAGAACCAACAGCTAATGGAGAAGCCCCTGAAACATTTTAGGGGAAGATACAGTCAGATCTGAATTTTAGATTCTTCACCGAACTGTAACTTAGTTTTCTGGGAAGAAAATGGTAGTTGAATAGAGAATGGCTTTAAATGGGACAGTTCTATAGAGTGACTTCCAGTTTTCTAATTGGACAAGTTGGGGTTGGGGACGTAACATCAGGAACAGGTTTTGATGGAAGGTAGTGGTTGGGTGCCAGTGGAAATGCACAGGAGGCAGCTGGCTACCGGGGTCATGCTCAGAGAGGACTAGGCTACAGGTAGGGACTTGGGAATCAGCACTGGGGTGGTCATTAAACCTCTGAAAGGGACTACGAATGAAGCAAGAGTCAAGAATGGAATCTGGCAAAACAGCATTTTAGGGTGGGAGGAAAACCAGGAAAGGGTCAAGTCCTGGAAGCCAAAAAGGGGGAGCGTGTCAGGGAGGTTGTAGTCAGTAGTCAAATGCTGCTCGTGCGTAAGAGAAAATGAGAGTTCACTGGCTTTGGCCATGAGGACATCACTTGAAGCCCTGAAATGTGTTTCTTTTTCAACCTTGTTTTTATCATCACCTCTGACAAGGAGCCTGTTTAGATGTTTTTCCTAATCATCTTACCCCATGAAACTCTAATACCACAGATAAGTTCTTTGTGTGTGTACTGTCTGTATAAAAAGATGCTCTGCCTCCTTGGGGGCAAATGTCTGTCTGAAAGGAGTCCAGTCAGATAGTGGGGGCAGAAGCCCAGCGACACTGAGGAAGGGGAAGGAGTGGAATTGGTGAGCATGTGCTGATGGGAAGGAGACAGATGGAAGCAGAGGTTGAGAATGCAGGAGAGAAAGGATGGTCCCTACAGAAAAGCCCCTGAAGATGGGGCAAGAGATGAGTGCAAAGCTAGGCAGAGGGCCCGAATTGGGGACGAAGGAATGAAGTTGCACATACAGACCTGCTTACCAGTGGTGGCCGGAAAGTAAGGGAATTTCCTTTACCGGAGGTCAGAAATACGGACATTTCTCGGTCAGGTCAGGGGTGGGCAGGGGAAGGAGGTCTGAGGAGGTTTGGTGAAGCCTTAGAAGAGGCAGCTGTGAGGGCCTCTGGGAGAGAGGAGACCACCCGGTGGTATCTAGGCAGCAGTCTGCACAGTTTGGCTTTCCACCCATCAGAGCCCATGTATAATAGCAGAGAAGGCAGCAGAGCCATCGGGTTGGTGACTGGCAGAGTGAGGGGCAGAAAGTAAGTACTACAGATAACAACAGAAATACCTACTATTTATTTAGCATTTACTCTGGCCTGCACTTAACTAAATACTTTGTGGTCAATTATGTCATTTAATCCCTAAAATAATCCTGCCAGGGTAGGTATTATATCATTACCCCCGTCTCACAGAGGAGAGAAACACGCGAAGGTGACGTGACGTGGACAGGGCTGTGCCGCTCGTAAGGAGAGCTGGCAGCCGAGCCCGCCTGTGTCTGCTCCTCAGGAGCACCTCCTGCCACAGGGCGTGGCACATTGCATCTCAGCTGCGAAAGGAGATGAATGCAGAGGAGTCTGATACTTCACAGGGAAACACACTTCAAGGACTCTGCTTCCTATGGAAGTGAGAAGTGAGGGTGATGTTCTAGGTGAAGAAAAGCAGGCGAGGGAGCCAGAGGTCTCTGGGGATAGGATATGGAAGTTCATGAATGAGGAGCTTTGCAAATGTGAAAAATACTGACTTCCCACTTGGGGGCTTGCTGCCACTGGCACGATTATAACCTTGGCCCCTCACAGGGCTTCCGCAGCTCACTAATGACTGCTTCTCCTTCTCACCTCTGCTCAAACAGAAGACCTGCTCTTGGTGGAAGGGATGTCAGTGCCAAAAGACGAAGCTGTGAGTGCACTCCATCTTATCCAAGCCGCAAAACTTGGCAACGTGAAAGCCCAGAGCATCTTGAGAACAGGTGAGTGTCGGCTCCCGGAAGCTCTGCCACAGGGGACAGGCCCTGAGACCACCCTGGGCTCCCCCAGAAGCCCAACTTCCCTCAAGATTGGCGCTCTGGAGTGTTTATTCAGAGGTATTTTTCCTGCTTATTGGGAGAGAAAAAAGGAATTGCCTTTTGTTGTTGTTGTTGTTAATCCTAGTCCGTGGATATTTTTCCATTGATTTTTAGATAGAGTAGGAGGGAGGGAGGGAGGGACATTGGTTGGTTGCCTCCCGCATGACCTTGACTGGGGTGGGGATGGAACCTGCAACCCAGGTCCGTGCCCTGGACCAGAATCAAACCTATGACCCTTTGTTCCTCGGGGCGGCGTTCTAACTGCTGAGCCAAACCAGCCAGGGGGCAGCATTACCTTTTCAAATTTTTGGGGGGGTGGGGTGGTTTAGTTTTACAACTATGAAGAAACGACTTCTTCATTTTATAGGAAATTTAGAGAAATGTGAGAGTAAGGAAAAGTGTCACTTTGGGTTTTACTGTTCAGAGATATCAACCATTAACATTTCCTTCCAGTATTCCTATTATTTTTATAGTTGAGATCATAAAGTACAGTACATACAATTTTATACCCAACTTTTTTTTTTTTTTTTTATCCTCACCTGAGGACATTTTTCCATTTTTTGTACAGATAGAGTGGGAGGGAGAGAGAGGAAGAGAGAGAGAGGGAAACATCGATGTGAAAGGGACACATCGAGTGGCTGCCACCCGCACGACCAACCAGGGCCGGGGACAAACTGCAACCGAAGTACGTGCCCTTAGCGGGAACCGAACCCGGGTCTCTCCAGACCGCAGGCCGACGCTCTAACCACTGAGCAAAACCGGCCAGGGCTATACCCAACTTTTTTCATTTCAAAGTATCCCATGATTATTTTGTCATAGTAAGAATAAATAATAACAGCTTTAAAAGTACTGCTTCTGGTACTTTTTTTTTTATCCTCAACCGAGGACATTTTTACATTTACCTTCAGATAAAGCGGGAGGGGGAGAAGGAGGAAGAGAGAGAAACATCGCCGTGAGAGAGACACATTGAGTAGCTGCCACCCACACAGCCCCAACCAGAGCTGGGAACAAACTGCAACAGAGGTACATGCCCTTAGCGGGAACCGAACCCGGGTCTCTCTGGTCCGCGGGCTGACGCTCTAACCGCTGAGCCAAACCGGCCAGGGCTGGTTCTTTTTATTAAACAGTGTGAATGTTCCTGGCTGCTGGCTATTTTCCACCTTCCTCTTGGGCATTTTTAATTTGACTCTCTTCCTGAAGCTTATATTTTGTTTTCCCGTAGCTGGAAAAGCTTTGGGTCTTGGTGTTGTGAACATCCTCCACACTGTGAATCCTTCCCTTGTGATCCTCTCTGGAATCCTAGCCAGTCATTACATCCACATTGTCAAAGATGTCATCCGCCAGCAAGCCTTGCCCTCCGTTCAGGATGTGGACGTGGTGGTGTCGGATTTGGTGGATCCTGCCCTGCTCGGCGCCGCCAGCATGGTTCTGGACTATACAACACGCAGGATCTACTAGGCTTCCCAGGAGTGGACGTGGGCCAAGACTCTCAGGTTGTCTTTTAGATGTGCATTTTTATTTTTATTTTTTGTATTAATTTTTTAAAGAGAGAGAGAGGGAGGAAGAGGGAGAGAGAGATAGAAATATCGATGAGAGAGAGTATCAGTTGGCTGCCTCCTGCATGCCCCCACTGGGGACTGGGCCCACAACCTGGACATGTGTCCTGACCAGGAATCAAACCGGCGACCTCTTGGTGCATGGGTCGAAGCTCAACTACTGAGCCACACCGGCCGGGCTAGATGCACATTTCTTAAAAAGCAAAGTTGATACTTATACTTGGTATTTGACAGGTGACTTTGCAGAGAAGTTTGTGCTTTTAGTCTCATCTTCCAAAGTTACCTTTCCCAACCCCCCTTTTTGTAGATGCAGCTTTCTGGGGTCACTTTAATTCTAACTGTATAAATACCACTCAGTTTTCTGTGCCAAAAGGAGCTACAATAGTCTTAGGCTGCAGTTCTCAACCCTTGGGTCGCGTGCGACCCCTTTGGAGAGAAAAAGGGAATTGACCCCTAAGGCCATCAGAAAACACGTATTTCCAATGGTGTTAGGAACTGAGACACCGCTCCTCTATCGGTCCCCAGGCGGGCCCGCCCACATGCAGATATGCCCACATACGACCTGAGGAACTGGATTAAAGGGTCGCAGCATTAGGAAGGTTGAGAACCCCTGGTAGGCCTCTGCTTACTAGATGTACTACTCAAACCTACAGGCCCTGCTTGGGAATGTGACCTTGGTACTGGAGTTTGGATTATTAATCCTTCCTCCTTTGACCCTAAATTTAGATGGCAGAAAGGGATGTAGTCAGGGAACAGAAGGAAATCTCACCAAGAAAGGCATAAGTGAACTTTTTTCTTAATTATTTTTGTAATCCTCACCCGAGGATATTTTTCTATTTATCTTCAGATAGAGTGGGAGGGAGAGAGAAACATCGATGTGAAGGGACACATCGAGTGGCTGCCACCTGCACAACCCAACCAGGGCCGGGGACAAACTGCAGCTGAGGTACGTGCCCTTAGCGGGAACCGAACCTGGGTCTCTCTGGACCGCAGGCCAACGCTCTAACTGCGAAGCCAAACTGGCCAGGGCGAACTTTGCTTTTTAAACAGCTTTACTGAAGTGTTTTTTTAAAAGCACCCAGCTTGATAAGCTTCAATATATGTGTGCATCTGTGAAACCATTACAAACATGATACTGGACATATCTGTCACCCCCAAAAGTTACTTGTTACTACTCTCACAGAACCTTGAGCAACTTTACACCCGAAATCTGAATTACAGTGGCCTTAATGACCTTGTCCTTGTCTTCTTAAGGCAGCTGAGAAGCCACTAGGTCTTATAGCCTCTGAAAGGAGATTAACTGTCCCAAAAGGATTTTTGCTACTGACAAGCAGACACCTCTCCCTTCAGTAGCTTTTCATACGGTGTTGAATCCGGCCCTGGAATGTCTGTTTAGGCAGTGTTTGCGTGTCGGGCCCAGAGCCCACATCTGGGGATCTGGATTCTGCTAAATAAGATTTCATGCTTTCACTGCTGTCAACATCCAAAGGCTATGGTTCTTGCTGTCAACTACAACCTGGAAGAAAACTAATAGCCACCATTTATTAAGTGCCTACTGTGTGCCAGGCTCTGAACTAGGTGTGCCTGAAATACATTATTCTAAATTCTCATAGCCTGTTTTAATTCCCACTTTATAGAACCCCAAACTGTCTTACTGTTTAAACTTACCTAAAGCTATGTCGCTAGTGAGTGTTAGAGACAGGGTTTGATCCCAGATCCCTCCGTGCTTTTTCTGGTAAGCCACACAACCTCTCATATCAAAAATTTTCAAAATGTAAAAAAAAAATTCAAAATGTGAATTCTAATTTACTGCAGGCTACCGAAAGCTTTACTTAAGAATATCTCAGTAGTAATGACTTGATTTATCCTTAGCACTATCTGTAAGTAGTGAATTTAATCAGTTATTTCTCTGTGCTGTGTGAATTTTGGCAGCACAGTATTTGGACTTAGATCTAAAAAAAGCATATGTAAATGTTTTTTAGATTGCTTTATTTTAGGAGAACCTCAAGGTTTCTATAGTATTGTTTCAGTATTAGCACATAAAATAAAGGAATTAATATTACATTTGTTCTTCCTGGTGGGTTACTGTGAAAAGTCAGGTTAATTCTTACAACTCTACCAGCCCTGAAATAATCTCCAGGTCCTGGTTATTGTTATAACATTCCTGGTGATTTCTGGGAGGGAAGTAGTCCGCTCGGCCATCAGTGTCTGGGGCAAGATGATACTGTGAAGGGGCAATTGTTCTTTGGTGAAATATGTGACCACCAATACATCAGACAACTGCATTGTTACCCAACTATATGAAGGATGGTACTGAATCTAAAACCAAATCTTCGTTTTTATTAAATTCATGGAAAGATGAATATATTCCAACATAATTATCATATATGGTTAATAATCACGTCTTAATTTATTTTAATGTAAATATTTTTGTTACTGAGCCAAATTCTAAAGACAAAATAAATATATTTCCTTGTGGAAATCCTAGCACTTCTGTTGTGTTCTGAAATTAACTCACTAGCTAAAAGCATTTCCCTTCTGAGAATAGATTTAGTATATTGTTGCATTGCTTACCTTCTGAAGGTCATGTAACTTCTTTAAGGCATCTAATATGGACTTCTTAACCAAAAGAAAAATAACTTTGATAATAGAAAGCATTATGTAACATTTAAAAAATATATTGTAAAATGATCATAGTAAATCTAGTTAAAATCTGTCACCATATATAGTTACAGAATTTTTTTGTGATGAGAACTTTTAAGATCTACTCTCAGCAATTTTCCAGTATGTGATAGTTATTAACTATGGTTGCCATACTGTATATTACACCCCCATAGATTACTTATTTTATAACTGGAAATTTGTAACTTTTGACTCTCTTCACCCACAATACACTCCCCCAACCCTGGCAACCACCAATCCGTTCTCTATACCTATGAACTTGGTTTGCTGTTTTGGGAGGGTTGTTTTTTTAGATTCCACATGTAAATGAGACCAGACAGTATTTGTCTTTGTTTTATTTATTTCATTTAGCCTAATACCCTCAAGGTCCACCCATGTTGTCACAAATGGTAAGATTTCATTCTTTTTTATGGCTGAATAATAATCCATTGTACATATACAGCACAATTTCTTTATCCATTCATCTGTGTATGGACACTTAGGTTTCCGTATGTTTGGCTATAGTAAATAATGATGCAATGAACACGGGGTGCATAATTCTTTTTGAGTTAGTATTTTTGTTTTCTTTGGATACTCAGAAGTGGAATTGCTGGGTCTTATGACTGTTCTATTTTTAATTTTTTCTAATAATCTCTGCAGTTTTGCTTAGTGGCTGCACCAGTTTACATTTCCACCAAGAATGCACGAGGATTCTTTGCTCCACACATCCTCACCAACATAATATTTGTCTTTTTTTTCCCTTTATATATATATTTTTTTCCTTTATTGATATTTTTTTTGAGAGAGAGAGGAAGGGAGAGACAGAAACATCAATGAAAGAGAATATCAATTGGCCGCCTCCTGCATGCCCCCACTGGGGATTTGGCCCACAACCTGGGCATGTGTTCTGACTGGGAATCAAACCAGCAACTTCTTGGTGCATGGGTTGATGCGTAGCCACTGAGCCACACCAGCTGGGCAGTATTTGTCTTTTTTGATAACAGTCATTCTAACAGGTGTGAGGTGATATCTCATTGTGGTTTTGATTTATACTTCCCTGATGATTAGTGACACTGAGCATCTTTTTATGTACCTGTTGGCCATCTGTATGTCTTCTTTGGAAAAATATTCAGATCCTCTGCCCGTTTTTTAATCAGATCGGCTTTTTTTGCTATTGAGTTATGTGAGTTCTTTACACTCAATTTTGGATATTAACACTCTATGAGATACATAATTTGCAAATATTTTCTCCCATTCAGTTAGAATGCTTTTTTATTTTGTTGATGGTTTCCTTTACTGTGTGGAAGCTTTTCAATTTGATGTAGTCCCATGTGTTTAGTTTTGCTTTTGTGGCCTTTGCTTTTGGTGTCAAATCCAAAAAAATCATTGCTAAGACAAATGTCAAGGAGCTTGCTGCCTATGTTTTCTACTTCTCTGGTTTCAGGGCTTACATTCAGGACATTAATTCATTCTGGTTAATTTGTGTGGTGTATGGTGTAAGACAGTGGTCCAGTTTTCTCAACGCAATTTATGAAAGAGACTCTCCTTTCTCAATTGTACTTTCTTGGCTCCTTTGTTGTAAATTAATTGACCATATATATATGGGTTTATTTCTGGGCTTTTTATTGTTCCAGTGATATATCTGTGGTTTTATGCCAGTACCATACTGTTTTGATTACAATGGCTTTGTAGTATAGTTTGAAATCAGGGAGCATGATGTCTCCAGTTTTGTTTTCTTTGTCAAGACCTCTTTGGCTCTTCAAGGTCTTTTATGGTGCCATGTAAATTTTAGGATTGTTCTAGTTCTGTGAAAAATACTAGTGGAATTTTAATAGGGATTGCCTTGAAGCTGTAGAATGCCTTGGGTAGTATGGACATGTTAACAATGTTAATTCTTCCAATCCATGAACACACGATATCTTTCCATTTATTTGTGCCTTCTTCAATTTCTTTCACCAATGTCTAATAGCTTTCAAAGTACAAGTCTTTTACCTCCTTGGTTAAATGTATTCCTAGGTATTTTACTCTTTTTAATGTAGTTGTAAATGGGATTTTTTCTTAACTTCTCTGATAGGTTGTTATTAGTGTATAGAAACAGATTTCTGTATATTAATTTTACATCCTACAATTTTACTGAATTCATTTATTCTAATATATATATATATATATATATACACACACATATACACACACACACACACACACTATATATATTAAGAATCAAGTCATTTGCAAATATGTGACAGTTTTACTTTTTACTTTCCAATTTGGATGACTTTTTCTTTTCCTTGCCTATGACTTCCAGTGCTATGTTGAAAAACATTTAAAGTTTGACATAAAAAGCAAAATGGCCCCAAGAAAGAGGTTTGAGACTCAATGTTGAGCACTCACTGAGTCCCTGGGAACAACTCCCTCCTTTTTATGTGGCCCCATGTGGGTAATATGTAGGTTTTGGAAGCAATCCCAACTTACTGTTGCTCACAAACCACCTCAGGCTTAAACACAGTAATCATTCTCTCATGGTTTCTATGGGTCAGGATTTTGGGGAAGGCTCTGCTTGGCAATTCTCATGTAGGGTGTCTGATGCACTTAGTGCCTGGAGCTAGAAGAGGCTGAAATACTGGGGACTGGCCAGGCATCTCTCTGCCTCTAGTTTCAGGGTCTCTCCATGTGGGCTGGTTTGGGCTTCCTCACAGCAGGCAGCCACAGGATGGTAGAGCTTTTTACATGGTGGCCTAAGGACTACCAGAGCTTGTGTGTTGGAACAAACCAGCTGCAAGCCGCATTGCCTTTTATGACCTAGCCTTGGAAGTCACATAGCATTACTTTTGTCATATTATCCAGTCCCCTCTTGATCTGAGGACTATCAGAGACTTTACTATCACATCCACCTCAAGAAGCCCATTTAGTATGGGAAGCAACACCAGTTCAGATGACACCACCAAAATAATACCCAAAGGTAAGCTGCCCCACATAGAGGGCCATGGGAGCTCAGGGGAGAGAGTAAGGGAAGGCACTGTGGAGGTGGCCTTTGAGCTAGTGCTTAAACTGGATTTTGACATTTTGAATGGCATTAGCAAGGCCCAGAAATAACGAATGGCTGGTGAACAACAGTGAGTGAGTGCTTGATTGCAATCTGGGGTGGCTAATGGGAAGAAATGAGCAAACAAGCCAGAATTGTGGGCTAGATCAGGAATGCCCAAGTAAGAAGGTAGGAAAGGGGGAAGTAGGCAGAAAAGTAATGAAGGTTCCTCTCCCCTTCAGAGATAATTACAATAGGAGTGATGATGGACCTTCCTTCTTGGCAATGGCAAGACTTGCCCCCTCCTGTGTGGTATTACTGTACAGAAGTTTACATCAATCTCCAACTTGGAAATAGTATCAGGTAACTCTAAGCAGATTTCTGAAATAGGGCTTTATTAGTTGCTAGAACTATTACCTAAAATGACAGGTTCTGAGGGCACATAACAAATGTGTTGATGCCTGAATAGAGCATAGTGTCGAAGAGGCAACCACTGCATTCATCACTGTAGTCTAGAACTTTCTGTGCTGGAATATTCTATAATCTGTGCTGTGCCATTTACATAAAACCTAATCAGACGTGCCCCTGAGCATATGAAATGTAACTAAGACTAGAATGTATTTTTAATTTTAATTAATTCTAATTTAAATAGCCACATGCACCTAGTGGCTACTGTATTGGCCAGCAAGGTCTCTAGATGAAGGATCTGACAACAGAGATATATGAGTAGTTCTCTGCTAGAGGAGTCCAGAGAAACGAGCTAAACTCATTCTAATGCCATCCTGACTCAGGTTCACTGGCTGGATCCAAAGGAGTAAAGGTCTCACTATAGTCTATGCACCCCAGAGAGACTGCCACTTGGAATATACCATCTAAGACCCTAAGTAAGGGACAGGGACAGAGAGCCACCTGGGAGAAAAATGCATAGGTTGGTGAGACTTCACAGCGCTATCTTAGGTGAGCAATAGGGGTTAACTTTTAGCCCTGTAACTCCCTTTCCAGCGGAAAGTTCCAAAGACAATAGGAACTGGGGGCTATTTTAGTTCAAAGCAGGGGTGGAGGCCCAGTGATTGTGCTGCCTCAGACCTAGAAATGACAAAAGTAAATTTCTCATGCCTTTGAGCGTCCAAACTGCAGCACACCTTGGGGTCAATAATGAAGCTTCATGTTTACTGTTTGAAACAAATTTATTCTCAGAATAATGCACAAAAAGCACAGGTTGAGGCTACCATGGGAGGTTTCCCTCCTTCTGCCACCACCTCCCTCTCCTCTCTGAATGCCAGGGAGAACACAGTTGAAGGAAGAAACATGCAATCACAAACAATGAGCAACTCTAAAGACAAAAGGTTCGGTCCAAAAGAACTCAACATGATTAATCCAATTATGTGAAGAGCTTCACTGAGTAGGATTAAGATATTGCAGATGTAGTGTTTCCACAGGGTGGCTCTTCAGTGCACCAGGGGAGCCTGCTTGAGGGAGATGAGGACAGAGCGCATGCGGGAGACGTCTTTGGCCTGCTTGCTGGACTTGGGGTTAAAGTCACACAGCCGGGCCACCCGTTCCCACTCTGTGCCTGGGGATGACTCGTCAATGTCATTTACAAAGGCTTCTTCTGCTGCCCTGGAAGCAACAACAAAATATGTTGGTTTAATGTAGAACACCCTGCGAGCTACCTGGTGGCTGCCTTGTTATAGAAGCGACTGCATCTTCATGCCTGACTTAATGGCATTCTGGTTTTCTAAAGAATCAGCCCATGGCCCAGGGCAGACCTCAGAGCAGACACATGCTAGCTCTCCTAGGCACAGGGGGCCTGGACTGCTGTGTAAAATGCTGGAATACAGGTGTTTGGTTCAGGGCGCGCGCTCTGTCTCTCTCTCTGTGTCTGTCTCTGCTGATACAGAGCATTAAAAAAGCAAGTCCTTAGCCACCTACAAGGCCTTCATAAACAAAAGCAAAGCAGCAGGCTTGTCAAGAACTTGAACAGTAATTTATGTTGGGCTGTCCTAAGTTTCAAGTAAATTTAAAGACTTCTAAAAAGCTCATAGCTCACTGAATAACAACTTTTGGATTTATTCCTAAGGCTGGAGAGAAACAGGGCAAATCAAAAGGAATTCAAAACAAGCTCCCATGCTAGCAGGCACTAGAGACTAAAGCCATTCTGGAAGGGAATTTGTTGGGACATTCTCCAGTTCAGCCATTTTCCCTCCAGCCAGGTACCTTGGGCCACCGAGGGCACACTGTGCAGGGGTGGGCACACAGTGGCTGGAAAGCCAATCAATGTTAGGTGCTTTTTGGTAGGATGCTGCTCCAACATTCTTTCAGTCAAGGTCAGCCCACCCCCACTTGGGAACCAGCTGGTGGGAGCTATAGCCCGAAAGGATAGTGGTTAAGAGGAGGGAAGACACACTCTATTCATCTATTCCGACAAGCATCACGGGCAAAGCAAAAGCAATGGAGATGACTGGTCTGTGGGGACAGAGGGTCGCACTCTCACAGGGATGGCCGTGGCAAACACTGCTGAAAGCCAGAGCCACTACGACACTGCAACTGCATGGCACACACAGTTAGGGGCAGTGAGAAAGATTTACTTAACTGTTCTAGGCTGTAGCAAGGATGGTTTATGTTTGTGCTTAAAGGTGAAGAGAAGAAAAGAAACAAGGAGAGAAACTTTAGGTCAGATATAGAAAATGAGAATGAGCTCAATGCAGATGGTCAGTAAGCTAGTCATGCCCTTGCCACTCTATTTACGCTTGGGAACGTGCAGCTGGTTTTGCTGGGCCACCCTGTTGCCCAGCAAACCCAGACTCGACCTTTCTAGTCTCCATTTCTACTCCAGAGAGAATGTGCAAAAATCAAATCCAACACCACCTGTAAGTCCATCATTTCACAAGTCTCATCGCAAATACACCCGGGAGCCTAGGAAACCCAGTTTTGTCTTCTAATGGGATGAACATCTCAAGGTCACAGGTCCCAGAGGATCTACAGACCTCCCGGCCTATTGTCCACCCTTCCCACAAATTCCTCTCTTCCTCCATTCCACCCTCATTTCTTTATTCAAAATCTAATCCTAATACTTGAGGAGGAAACAGCGAGAACAGTTTCCAAGTCTTCAGCAATACTGCTTTGGTAACAGGAACCCCTAAAAAAAAAAAAAAACTTCCAGAGAAAATGCAATTTTCTTTGGGGGAAAAGCCAAAGTGGCCCATATCAGACAGCTCTGGCTACCTTGACCTCAAAGCTGGGGCCTCTCTGTGCACGGGGACAGGGCATCAGAAGCTGGCTACTAAACAACGATTTCTGACATGTAAGACCATAGAGAAACCATGACAAGCCCCCATTGGAGACACCTTCCTCTGCCCAAGGGAGAGGCAACCAACACCACGTTCTTCGAAGGAACCAAGTGTAGAAAATACTGCCCCCGCTGGCTCCTAACCAGGGCACCTACCTCTCCCAGGTGGGGACACTTCCCCCTCCCACCGGGGGCAGGGAGGTAGGTAGTGTGGCAGCGGCAGCAAGAGGTCAGAGCCCTCCAGTCCCAAAGCCTTCCCAGAAAAGATCACAAAATGACCCACATTTTGAAAGGGAGTCAGTTTCCTTCCCTCCAAAACCCCAAATACGAAAAATGGCAATCACGTTTGTAGGAAGTCATAATTCTGCAAGATAATCAATGGGTCATACCCCCAGCTTATCAACTCTTACGCAGCCCCCACAGTGCGAATTTGAAATCATTTAAAAAGCAAAGCAATTTGTGGCATAAAAGGTGCATTAACTCTAAATGAAAAGTAGAAAGAATCAAAAGAAAAGGAATTAGTTTTGCAACATACACATAACCAATCACGTCAGCGAAGGGTTGTTTGTAGAAAGCTTCATCTGCCACCCTAGACAGCAAGAGGTCCAAAAGGCAGGCAAGCAGGCAGGAAAAAAGAGAGAACATTGAGAAGCAGAAACATCTCAAAACCACAATAGAGGCACAACTGTGCTCTGGGAAAGCGGTTCCCAAGGCTCCATCCTAACCCAGCAAAGCTTCAGCACTGGCGACTCCAGCAGGCAGTTTCTAGCTGGCCTTCCCCACAGGGATTCTCCCCTTGCCTTACCCCAGCCACAATGAGCATTTCCTAAGCACCTACTTGTGGCCTAAGCCCTTTCATAGACATTGTGTTCGTTGGATTCTCAACCCCAGCAACCTAGGACAACAAGAGTTCTCACCTCCTTTTACAGATGAGGTAACTGAAGCCTAGAGATGAAGCAGCTCGCTCAACAGCAAGAGGCAACAGGCAGAACTCACAACCAAAGCCGCCGGGCTCCTTTCCCTGCACATTAATACCTCCCATTGGGTGTGTGCTCGGGAAGCCATGTCACCTTCCACCAGCCTCGGTAACCATCACTGGGTGTACCAGAGAAGCTAGGTCCCAAAGCCAGCTTTATCTTGGATTATCCAACTACTGCTTCCCCACACTGGCTGGGTGGGATCAATTTCCAGTATCGTAGGAGCACATATGGTCATTTCAAAATTCCCACCTTAGAGAAAAAGCAGCCAGAGGCAAGTGGTCTGGTGGAAAGAACTGCAGACAAGGGCTCTGGCTCTGGTTTACTGTGTGTCCCTGACCGGGCTGTCTGTCTGCTCAGTCCATGCCAGACTTGACTGCTTTGACAAGGTGCAGCCCGGAAGCCAGCACTTCACTCTTCCTCAACTCTCACATCAGGAATGGATCAACATGGCAGGGCTCTGGGACAAGAAGGAGAGAGGACAATGCTGAGTGGAGGAGTTTACACCACAGCGGACAGGCTGCCTTAGACTGCTGTTCCAGGGTGCCCACCTCATCCACTGCGGGTGGACAGGGAACCTTCCTCAAGGACTTTTACTTTACCCTTTGCCAGGTCAGTTTGGAGCACAGGAATGGGACTTTTTTTTTTTAAAAAAAGGACAATCATGCCTGGTTATTAACAAACTCACATATTTATTTGAAGGAAAATGCTAGTGATTTTGATTTTCAGTTTATATTATTTTTTAATCCTCACCCGAGGATACTTTTTACCATTTTTATCTTCAGATAGAGTGGGAGGAGGAGAGGAGAGAGAAAAGCATCAATGTGAGAGAGACACATTGATTGGCTGTTTCCCAACCAGGGCCAGGGACGAACCACAACCAAGGTACATGCCCTTGACCGGAATCGAACCTGAGACTCTCTGGTCTGTGGGCCAATGCTCTAATTGCTGAGTCAAACCAGCCAGGGCAATTTCAGTTTATTTTTAAACTAACACGTACCCTGCCCTCTTTACCGTTTTGGTTTATACATAGGAGGGGTTCTGTGGAAATTTAAAGAAAGCAAAGGGAACAGCCTGATTGTAACTCAGCGAGTCAGCAGGACTTGTTTGTGGGCAAAATGAGTGCGAGGGAAAGGAAAGGCAGGCCAGCTTGTAAACCCACAGTCCTTTGTAGTTTACACATTGACTAACCCTGATCCATTTCAACTTGTGTTTGCTCCTGCTGGAAGAAAATAAAGATTTAATGATTCCTGTCTAGGCATCACTAAGACAACAAAAGCCTGAATGTTTGCTCCTGTGCAGCTAGCCTGAAGACTAAAAGTAGTCTGTGACAGCACTGCTGTTATGGTTACAGACCCAGGACAAATGGAAAAACTCATACAACAAACACAGACAGCCCCTCCACCAGTCTGTTCTTCACCCACCAGAGAGAGAGCTGAGACAGCAATCCTTACGCAAGGCAGGAAGGGGCTCAGGGAAGCCTGGGAGAGGGGAGGAATGCCTTCGGGCCTGACCACAAGCCCCTCAGGAAGCTGATACACACAGCAGGCATGGAAAAAATGTCGGCCTCACTGAGCATTGTGGATTGCCCAAACTCTTACAAGCCTAGAAAGAGGTGAAAAGTCAGCACACCAAAACTACCTTTAAAAGGGAACATGGTTGTCCAGCCGATGTGGCTCAGTGGTTGAGCATCAGCCCATGCACCAAGAGGTCACCAGTTCAATTCTCAGTCAGGACACATGCCTGGGTTATGGGCCTGGTCCCCAGTGGGGGGCGCCTATCAATGTTCTCTCTCATCGACGTTTCTCTCTCCCCCCCCCCCCCCATTTCCTCTCTCTCTAAACTCAATAAAGGGGAAAAAAAATTTTTTTAAAGTGTGTGGGGGGGGACCACATAATCTGGATTGTTCTCCAGGAATAAACTCCTCTGGCTCCTATGAAAAGAGAACTCTTTTCCATGAGCTGTCACTTAATTCATGGCTCTTATGCGTGACATTTAGGCCCCAACTCAGGATAAAAGGAGGGAGATACAGTCTGAGTAATGACAGACTGGAAATGCTATGACAAGGGTCTGTTGACTGCTGTCTGCCTACAGCCCAGCACAGTGCCTGGCACACAGTACTCCGAAGGCTTCAGTGGAGGGCATCAGAAGGCAAGAAGCCTGATGATACACTCACAAAAACAGCCCCTTGCTACCCCCAAGATCTCCTCTTTCAAACTTCTCTCCTTATCTTTGTGGTCCCACTTAAACATCCAGCTGCTGCAAAGGTCACTGGGAAAAGAACACTGCTTGATTGAGCACCCTCATTTTCCTTTCTCAAGATATTTTCTATTTACCTGTAGATAGACAATGAGAAAGATGAATCACTTTACACATATAAATGGGACTTCTTTAGTCCCATGGGACTCTAATGTTTGAGTCAAACATAACTGGGGGAGGGGGAACCATCAGCAGTGCCAAAATCTCCTTTGGAAAAAGTCTCCAAAGTGGTTTAGTTCTATAATGGCTTCCACCCCAACCCACTGAAGAACTGGCATAAAGTGTATAAACCATCCCCTCTGTCCAGGAACCCTGGTGACAGTGGCTAGTGTGGCACTAGCTTTACACATCTAGGTCAGCCCTATCTACGCTGCAAGGTTTCTCTAAGACAAGTGATCTGGTTTCTAAATAGCTCTACATTCTCAATGAGTGGTGAGTTTAACTCTCTTGCCCTCTCTGGAACCTGAGGTTCATCTTTGAGACTATCCAACCCAACGCTCTCCAATTCTACCTAAAGAGGAGTACACCAAGCCCTGGCCGGTTTGGCTCAGCAGTTAGAGCGTCAGGCTGTGAACTAGAGAGTCCTGGGTTTAGTTCCTGCTAGGGGCACGTACCTCGGTTGCAGTTTGTCCTTGGCCCCAGTTGGGGCCGTGTGGGTGGCAACCACTCGATGTGTCTCTCTCACATAGGTGTTTCTCTCTCTTCCTCTCTCCCTCCCACTCTATCTGAATACAAAAAGTGTCCTCGGGTGAGGATAAAAAAATTAAATTAAAAAAAAGAAAGAAAAGTACACCAAGCCCTAACTCAATGCCCAGAGGAACTAAACTTTTAAGACTCAACTCCTAAAAACAGATGTAATTATTCTCTTCAAGTACAACTGATTCAGTATACAGACAGAAGGGATGCAGTTTAGCAAAACTGGCTTGAAAAAATTTCTGCAATGGGAAACCTATTTCCCAACATAATCATATTTTATTTTTTTAAGTCTGAGCATCTGGCTGTCAACTTGCTTAAGCCTTAGGGACCCTGAAGAGGAAGGGTCAACCCAGTTTTACCAAGTACTTCAGAGCAGACTCACAGGCTAAGGCAACTTGCTGGGTAAACAACACCTTGCACAAAGCACCCACCCATCTTTCTTTGGAGATGTGAACTTGCAGCTGGGGAAATGAGCACAGGATAAAGAAGCCTGAACCTGTCAGCCCCTCAAAATTATCACAAGCTCAAAAGAAGTCCCGGACCTGAGAGCAGTCCCCACCATACTTATCACAGAACTTCAAATGGAACCCAATGAGCACGTGTAGACAGTACATCCCCCACAGGAAGGTGGCAGGACAGAGGCTCAAACCTGGCACCTGAGGGGTAGCTGACAGAACCAAGGATGGCCAGCAGGAGAGAGCTGAAGGCTGCTCAACAAAGAGGCCATCTGTTCTGCCACAGCTGACCCACAGTGGCACAGGCTGGCTGGCCAAGTGCTCAGTTCCCTCTTTTCTGGCAGATTTCCATCTACTACAGCCGACAGAGACAAGGGCATTTAAACTCACTTCTTTCTGCCTCTGAGGACAGGAACCTAAGGCTCTTGACCCTGAAAATTAAAATTATGCCCAAGACCAGTCTGGCCTATCTTTACACTGAAGTGAGTGCAGTCGATCCAGCAGGGAAAGCAAGCCCATGACCGACCCCGAGGCAAGCAGCGATGCCTCTGCCTCTCCGAGCTACTTCCAAGTGGATGCAGACACACAGCATTAAGGACCACAGCTGCTGGTCAGTGGTGGTATGAGAATGTTTACTCCCACAACTACTTAGCCTTTAGTGAGTGAGTAAATTCTGAAAAGAGCATTTTAAAGTCAACTCTAGATTTTCTTAGACACAGATTAATACCCAGAGAACCTTTAATTCTGAAGTCGCCATGTTGGACGGCCTTCTTTGGCTACCTAATTACAAAGCACATTTCCCTGCTAATGGACCTCTCTGTGAAGCAGCTTTCAGAGGGCAGGGTTGTATTTAGGGGATGCAACATAACCAAGTCTATAATCAGCTCCAGCAGACTGAGATTCTGGTATCATTTCAGGGTACATTTTTATATGTGGAATTGATCCATGAAGTAACTTTTCCTTTGCTGCATCACACCATTACAGGTGGCACATATGAACCAAACTCTTAGTTGAAGAGCTAAACTCACTATAACTGGGATGGCTAACAGGCTAAAATATGCTCACAAGAACCAAGAGACTTGCAACCCTTATGTTTCGATTACGTTTCGAAAACTCGCAAAGACATTTCACACTAAACAAGCCAGCAGCTGAGAATCTATCATGGCTATTGGAAATGGATTTGATGCGATCTTGGAAAACAAGCTGTGCTAGAAGCACTATGGACTGACCTGTTGTTTGCTTTTGTTTTCTGTAGCTGCTCGTCCTGCCTCGCATACCACTCTTCCAGCTCCTTTATTGCTTTTTCTTTCCACTCTGCTTCTTGCTTCCGAGAATTGGCATCTTTGAAGGGAAGAAAGAGAAAGACAATACAAATGAAACAAAACACAAATTCAAGTTCATTTCATCCATCTTTTGGTCTTATTAAACTTATACTGTGTGTGGGCACGTGTGTAAATGTGTATTGGGGAAGAATAGCTGGAAGATACAATTCTCTTTTCCCTGTTTGTACATCCAGCTCCTGATTACAGCGATTCTATCCAAGGTGTTTTACCACATTTTATCCCAGTCCACTGACACTTTAGTGATCAGTAGTTGGTGGTTGGTTTGTTTTTGCCTGTTTTTTTTGGGGGGGGGGGGGGAGGTAGGATAGAAATACTGACTTCTAATAAAAAACAGCCTTTGGGTGCACCAATTGGGGGAAAAAGCAATTACAGATGATATATAATAATACTGCCAATTAATAATGCTGTCAGTATTAGTTCAGGGTAAATTATTCATATTAGATAATCTTTTAACTAAATCTTCTCACAACCTATATTCCATACCTCAGGTTGACAATTAATGGTTCTATAAAACACAAGATGGCACTCTCTTTTTATTAACTGATTTTTAAATCCTCACCCAAGGCTTTTTTTTATTTTCAATTATCTTCAGATAGAGTAGGAGGAAGGGAGAGAGGGGAGAGAGAGAGAGAGAAAGAGAAACATTATTGCAAGAGAGACACATTGACTGGTGGCCTCCGCATGACCCCAGCCAGGGCCAGGGACCAAACCACAACTGAGGTACGTGCCCTGATCGGAACTGAACCCATGACTCTTTGGTCCGCGGACCAACACTCTAACCGCTGAGCCAAACCGGCCAGGGCACAAGATGGCACTCTCCTAAGTAATATGGTAGATGCACTTCTATGAAGCAGGGCATTATTAGGAAAATTATCAGAGGTAGAGAAAATTCAGGAACCAGGGAACAGTAGAATATAGATGTTAGAGTTGGGATAACCACAAAATAATCTATTCCTGCTTAGACTGCATGGTGTCTGTGACAGAGCTAGGGCAGAACTATAAGAGAAACTCCAGCAGAGAGAATGACAGGGCGTTGGGGGATCATTACTAAATTATCCACAAAGGTTCTAGAAATTGGAGAAAATGCACATCTAGTGGGAAGTTTGTTGGGCTTAAAGATGGGTTTTCCTAAGACATTTAGCTAAAATAAAGACACATGTCAGTAGATACTGGGAGAAAAAGAAACATAGGTCACAGCACTGCTGTAGTTGGCACCTGAAGTTACCCTGATACTTCACTTGAAACATGTTCTTAAGAATATCCTTTCTGGAAGATGTTTTGTAGACATCTCATTTAATCTTTACAACAATCCCAAGAAGGTAAACTGTACTCTCATAGTCAGCAGTGAGAAAAACTACAGCTCAGAAAATTTGAAGAACCTTTACAAAGGTTACAGTGAGTGCCAGAGCCAAGATTCAAACCCAGGTCTGGCTGTAAAGCTCACATGTTCGTACTTTATTATTCTGCCTCCACAGGGCACGATGGAAAGGGAAGCAAGCCTAGAAATAATCATAAAATGTGACTACAAGGTAGTCACCACTGGTCCAGACTAGAGTTTGGACAGTGCTGAGCCAGAGCCCAACTTGTAATTAGTGTTCTCGAGGGGGAGAGCGGAAAGCGGTGGTGGTGGCAAGTAACCATTCATGGGAAGAAGTGAAGCATTTTGGGGCATTTTTAGGGCCTTTGCAAAAAAAAAAAAAAATGTTTTGTAGGATCAACCTGGTGACTAGGAATAGCCTAAGAGCATCTAAAAACTCTCCTACAGTTTCACATTATAAAAGTACTTTTTAGCCCTGGCCGGTTTGGCTCAGCAGTTGGAGCGTCAGCCTGCGGTCCAGAGAGACCCAGGTTCGGTTCCCGCTAAGGGCGTGGACCTTGGGTGCAGTTTGTCCCTGGCCCCAGTTGGGGTTGTGTGGGAGGCATCCACTCAATGTGTCCCTTTCACGCCGATGATGCTCCCCCCACCATCTGAACAAAAGTGGAAAGATGTCCTCAGGTGGGGATTAAATTTTAAAAAGTACTTTTTACCCTGTTACCTAATTTATCAGAAAGTAACCTATTGCTCACAAGAATAATTATTTTACTCGGATTTTCCACTGATGATTGAAATATATAAACTTCTGATGTCTGTCTATCCACAACACTAAGTGTATGCAGAATGGAGGGCACTATGGTGCACTGGGATATGCCAAGGGTGGACAGGGCCATGTGAGCAAGAAACTAAAAAATACCATATTTATTTTATTTATGTTCATGTATCTTCAGAGAGAGTGAGAGGGAGGGCGGTGAGGGGGAGAGAGAAAGAAAAAACATCGATGTGAGAAAGACACATCGACTGGTTGCCTCCCACAGGAACCCAACCAGGGCCGGGGACCAAACCACAACCAACCAAGGTATGTGTCCTTGACCGGAATCGAACCCACGACTCATTAGTCCGCAGGCCGATGCTCTAACTGCTGAGCTTGGCCAGGGGAAAAAAAGAAAAAACTTGCTGTGTTTAAAATGTAAGCCCTGGCCGGTTTGGCTCAGCGGTTAGAGCGTCGGCCTGCAGTCCAGAGAGACCCGGGTTCGGTTCCTGCTAAGGGCACGTACCTCGGTTGCAGTTTGTCCCTGGCCCTGGTTGGGTCGTGCAGGTGGCAACAACTCAATGTGTCCCTTTCACATCGATGTTTCTCTCTCTCTCTCTCCCTCCCACTCTATCTGAACAAAAAATGGAAAAAAAGTCCTCAGGCGAGGATTTAAAAAACAAACAAACAAAAAAAAGTAAGGTCTCCCTTTCAAGATCAGTGAAATTATTTCCAAAAAATTACTTTTCAATTGAAGAGCATTTTTTTCTGTGTAGTCTGATACTTTTTAAAATGTTACCATATAACAGGAACACAATTATCATGGAAATTTATCTCAAAATCTTATCTAAATAAAAACTGTGACCATTTGTACAAACTGTAGTTACTATATAAAATAATCCCTTTATGCATTTACTCTGTTAATCCTCACCAGAGGCTATTTTTTCTATTCATTTTTACAGAGAGTGGAAGGGAGGGCAGAAGGGGAAAGAAAGAAACACTAATGTGAGAGACACACATCGATTGGTTGCCTCCACACGTGACCCAACCAGGGTTGGGGATCGAACACGCAACCCAGGTACATGCTCTTGACCAGGAATCGAACCCACGACCCTCTGGTGTGCAGGCTGATGCTCTAACCACTGACCCACACTGGCCAGGGCTAAAATAATCCCCTTAAATTGTCTTACTTTTACAGATTTATGAAGCGACACTGACAATAACAATTTAGAATTCTTAAACGTTTAGCTTGATGAGACAAAGATCCAAGCCATAATACAATCTCTGAATCTGGGAGGAGTGGGGAGGGAGAAAGAGTCTCCTTAGAGAGCAGAGCACACTGACAGCTGTCTCCTCTGGCCATCTGCATTACTATTCACAGAACAGCAAATTATTTAAGAATATCCAGTAGCTAAGCTGCAAACCATTGACACTGGCTCTCTATTCTTAGCATCTTGTTCCTTCTCACAGTTTTTGCAAGGAAAAAAGGTGAAACTGAAGAAACACCTAGTTCACGGACCAATTTAATTTAATTCGATCAGAATGTAAGGTCAAATGTTTGACTTCCCTCAGGAAGGTATCTTAAGAAAATAATACCTTCACGAAATATTTCCTAAATATCCAATTTGATAATTGAAGAAAATGCATTTTCCCAGCCACCAAAGTGAGCTCTCTCCATGAACAAGACAACTTTGCTAAACTTTGGGAAAAGAGAAAGATAAAGATGGATTGTGTAACATGAAAAATATCTGGTAGCACTAATACCAGCTAAGTCTTACCTCTAAGCCTACTAAGAAGATATACAAAGAACAAGCAAGGACTGAGGCTACTTGCACCATGAAGACCTATTTTCATCTCTCTAAAGCTGTACTATCCAGTACCACAGCTACTATTATTATAATTAAATAAAATTTGAAATTCCATTTCTGTCATACAAGCTACTTTTCAAGTGCTTAATAGCTACATGTGGCTTGTGGCTGCCATACTGGACAGCAGATACAGACTATTTCTATCATCAAATAAATAACTATTGGCTAGTGCTGCAAAGATTCAAACATAAGTGTGCCCTGTGTTCTAAAAGCCACATAAATTGGGCTGGAAAGACAGATTTTATACTAATTGGATGTTACCTGGATCACATCCCTTCCTATTTCTAGGTGTCAGTTACCCCATCTGAAAAACAGGAGTCACACTTTTACTAGTTCAGTGGTCCTCAAGAAAGAAGAATAATGCTGACACTGTGGTTACATGGAAAACCATATTTCTGGATTTATAATAAAATATTTACACATGAAGTACATGATATCTGTATCTTAAAATGGATTAAAAATTATGATTATAGTACACTTAAACATATCTCCTTTCAACTATTCTGTGTTTCAAATTTTTAAAATCCTCACCCGAGGATATTTTTCTCCTTATTTTCAGATAGAGTGGGAGGGAGAGAGAGAGAGAGAGAGTTTGAAAAGAAAGAGGGAGAGAGAGAAACATTGAGGTGAGAGGGACACATCGACCGGTTGCCTCTCTCATGACCTTACCCAAGGCCAGGGATCAAACTACAACCAAGGTACATGCCCTTGACCAGAATCGAACCTGCGACTCTTTGGTCCACAGGCCAATACTCTAACTGCTGAGCCATACTGGCCAGGGCTATGTTTGAAATTTTAATAAAAAGCTGAGAAAAAAAAGTACCCCGGGGATAATATCCCCACACTCTGCCATACCTCTCTAACCCACAGGTAAAGATACAAGTCTCTCCTGATTTTGCCCAACAGCTGACACTCCAGGTACACAGCTCTTCACCCAAGGCCCGACTGGCTCGGGCTGATCTCGGACTTGGCCTGCCTAGTGAGATGTGTACACTAAATGCAATGTGGCTAAAGGGATGGGTATGGGCTCTGGAGCAGGGCAGACTTCAGTTGAGATTCTGATTCTAGTTTAAATTCTGGCTCTACCACTTCTTAGCTGTGTGATTCAAAAACTTATTACCTATGCTTTTCACCTTCCCCACCCACAACAGTGTAAACACTTATCTTCCCAGGGATATTAGGGTAAGAAAACCAGATTGTATGTTTCTTAACATAGCTCACATTTTCCTCTTAAGTGCTACCTTAAATTCAGTCTTCAAATGATAAATGGACTGTTAAATCTCTCACATGGATATAACACCTTCAAGCTTACAAAGCACTCTCATAAATACAGCACAGAATACCCGTGGGGCTGGTAACACTGACCTCACTCCTCTCAGATGAAGAAACAAATGCAAGGTTTGGTAACCAAGTGCTTGCAGTTTATAAAAGTTAAGGCTGGGCCTTGAATCCAGCCTTTCACTCCAAGTCCACGCTCCTTTCCATAGCACTGCTCTGCTCATGAGAGGACACTAGGGGGCTCTCTGCGCTGCCCTAATCCTTACACAATGGTCTGTGATTAAGCATCTCCACATGAGTAGCCTTGTGACCTTCAGGTTGAGAAAGATTATCTTCCCCAAACTAGACAAGTACATTATGGCTAATTCAAATGAAAAGGGAATGAAAGGAAAGTCCAGGTCAACTATTCCACTGAAAACAGATACCCAAAGAGGAAAAAGATTCCTTACCAAGGGCTTCCAAGCGTTCCGTTTGCTCTTCTCTCCATTTACGGATACTTTCAGGCTCTGATTGCAATCGATCCACTTGTGAAATAGCTGCATAACTGTCTGTTGGACCATTACTCTCCTTAACACAAAACACAATTGTACTCTATCAGTACCAAAAACTCCTTCCTGAAATACACTTCATCCAAGTTAGAACCCCTGGTTATGTACAGCACTAAAGATTGTAAAATGTTAAAGGATTACCTTAAAAGCAATAGCACAACCTTACATGCTGATAGGGAACTTTCAACATTACTGCACTTAATCCTGATAGTCCATGAGAAGGCAGAATAGCTGTTATCCTTTCTGTTGATAAATGGGACATGAGTGGGAGATAGGAAAGTCGGGGAGGTAAGTAATGGACTTACTAGGAAACAGTGTTATCAGTTTTGGTTTCCTCGCGTGACACAGAGATTATGTGATATTTTCAAAGTAACAAAGGTAAGCACACAGTAGAGCAAGGCTTGAACTTAAGACCTAAATGCTATTATACAAGGCAGAAAATAGTTCACTTAATACCACCTAATCAAAATATAGTGAATTTGAGGAAACATACAGTGACTGCAGTCACATCAAGGAAAAAGATAAAAAGGCAAGCAACCACTAGTCGTGTGTGTGTGCACACTCACAGACTCTTCTTTACGGTGGTTTACATCTGGGCGCTAATAAAGACTCAAACAGAAACTCAATCTTTAGGGAATTATTTCACCTCTAGAACTAAGGATTACCAGTTTAACCTAACTAGACTTTATTATAAACAAATGTGGAAAAAATTATTTCAAGTATTATTAACTAACTTATAAGCATTTTCCATTATGTCAGACACATAAAAGCTTTCTCTCCCAAACACCTTGCAAAGCAAGTTTTTATTCAATTTCACAGTTGGGGAATTAAACTGAGGCCCAGAGAAATGACATGTAGCTAGTAAGGGATAAAGCCAGGACCTGAACCCTATTCTGTCTCACTCTAAAGGCCAAGCTCTAAACCAGGGATTGGAAACTATAGCTCAGGCCTGCCCCATCTCATAATTAAATTTTACTAGAACACTGCTATGCCCATTCATTTATGTACTGTCTATGGATACTTTCATATCGTAAGAAGAAACCTTTGTTCTGTTCTAGAATATATGACATGCATATATGAGGCCTGAAAGTGCTGCAGCCATTTCACCACCATGAAACATAACCTGAGTATAAAACTGCACAGTCGGCAGGCAGGGCCAGAGTCCTAGAGGAACTGAGTCAGAGTTCAGGTCTGAGGACACTAACCTATCTCAGAGCTCTTTCAATTATAAAAACTAGCTAGCTCTCCATGTTTAAGCCAATATAAGTTGGGCTGGCAACTGAAAGCTTAGTGATCCAGAGGGAAAATAATGGTTTTCCTCATAAATATCAGCCTCCCTATCCCCAATACAATCTAAAAGGTTCAAATGCTGGCCCCACCACAAACTGCCTGTTACTTTAGACTACTAATTTAACCTGTGTGCCTCAGTTTATTCATCTGTAAAACAGGAATAACAACAGTACAGGTCCCTCAGGTTGTTGTCAGAATTAAATAAGTATAAACAGTGCTTGACACAGCATATCACAGATAGTGTTTAAATTCGCCATCATCATCATCAGGAAGGGTCATTTCTTCAGAATAAGTTGATAACACTAGGGCCAGGTCAGTAACATTTTAAAAGAAAGCTCTTTCAGTGCCACTTCTCTTCGAATCCTTCCACCATGGCAGGTAACATACCAGCTACTAATACATCCAGGAAAGTCAAGGTGGTAGGGTCCTTTCCTAGGTCAGTCAATTAAAACAATAGAAAAGAAAGACTCTTGACCACTGTCATTTAATATAATCTGTACCTGGTAGTATTCACCATTCATCACTCCATCAACAGCATCTGCAAGACATAAGATTACAATTTGTCAATCAGGGCTGGTCAAATGCTGAGCCAAATGTTTACAGAACAAAATACAGTACCATATGCTGTAGGTACTATAAGTTACTCAGTGCTATCCCTGGGCTGGGTACTAGATACAACAATAAATAACTTTCTTTTCTTCTTTTTTTTAATCCTCACCCGCAGACATTTTTCCATTTTTTGTTCAGATAGAGTGGGAGGGAGAGAGAGAGAGAGAGAAACATTGACATGAAAGGGACACATCGAGTGGCTGCCTCCCACACGACCCAACCAGGGCCGGGGACAAACTGCAGCCGAGGTGCGTGCCCTTAGCAGGAACCGAACCCGGGTCTCTCTGGACCGCAGGCCGATGCTCTAACCGCTGAGCCAAACCGGCAGGGCAACAATGAACAACTTTCTAATGAATGAAACCAAGATGTGCTTATATATAAATGATTTCATAAAAATGTGGGCAAACCTGTCCCAAGCTCCCAAGCCCAAAAGCTTTTCATATTCTGCGTCCTGGGTTAGAGAAGTTAACACGTAAAACCATAGCAGAAGAATCTCACAGAACAACACTGTTTCTCCATGAAAGTTCTGGAGAAAGCAAAGTATGGCCTGGAATCCCTCACAGTGAGCAGGGATGTATAGCTTTATGTTTAAGCCAACATGCTTTCTTGGAGGTCAAGACTCTCCATCCTGTCACTGAAATAGTTTTGGCACCTAAGGGTCTATAGTTGAGACTTCTTGCTGATTCCTATAGTGCACCTGTAATTTGTTCAGAACAATAAGATGTGGACATACCAAATTAAATCAGTCTTTTGAAGGATGTTAGTTTAAAAAATTCAAAGTGAGGTGTACAATCCAGTCTTACTGACACAATTATTCATAATCCAATAAGTCTACCTCAGAAATATAAAAAAATGCCTAAGCAAGACCTAGACACTATCGCCCTGGCTGGTTTGGCTCAGCGGTTGGGGAGCGTCGGCCTGCAGTCCAGAGAGACCCATGATCGGTTCCCGCTGGGGGCACATACCTCGGTTGCAGTTTGTCCCTGGCCCTGGTTGGGTAGTGCAGGTGGCAACCACTTGATGTGTTCCTTTCACGTTGATGTTTCTCTCTCTCTCCCTCCCACTCTATTTGAACAAAAAATGGAAAAAAAGTCCTTGGGTAAGGATAAAAAAAAAAGACCTAGACACTATCAAACCACATAGTACAAAATGGTGGTCCACAGGCTGAACATATTTTATTTAAAATACAAAGTATACTGCCCAGCTTGTGTACTGGTGGATTGAGTGTCGTCCCATGGACTGAGAGGTCCCAGTTTGATTCCTGATCAGGTCATGTGCCCAGGTTGCAGGCTCGATCCCCAACAGGGGGCATGCAGGAGGCAGTTGATTGATGTTTCTCTCTCTCCCTTAAAAATAAATTAGAAAACATAAAATACAAAGTATTAAGTTAGAAAATCCCACAAAATCAGGATTTACAGGTTTGGGAGGCGGGGCAGGCAAATGGAAGATCTGGCAATAATGGGTCTGCATTCCTGAATTGACAACGCTGTTTGAAATGAGGGTAGCCTTACATGTAGCATGCTCTGGACAATTTGCCAGGCTCCACTAGCCCCACTTTAAAACCCATTCTGTGTTTCACCAATTTAGTTATCTGACTGGCTTGAAAAGCATGTGTTCCTAACCCAGCCATCACTAAGTGTTGCACATCACTGCTCTGGAGTGGCTGCTCTGACTTCCTTCAAAAGCCTCAATATAGACACCATAAAAATTTAGCTTCCACCTACAAAATCTGTATTCTGTATCTTAAAATATGCATAGGGTTCCTTGAGGTGCATAAGGTATGCTTGAAGGGGCAGATACTTGATGACATTATTTTCTCTTAAATTTATTGTTTATGGCCCTGACCAGTTTGGCTCATCAGTTAGCATGTCAGCCTGTGGACCAAAGGTTCACAGGTTTGATTTCCAGTCAAGGGCAAATTCTTGGGTTTCAGGTTTGATCCCAGGCCCTGATAGGGGTCGTGTGGGAGGCAACCAATTGATGTGTCTCTCTCACATCAATGTTTCTCTCTCTCTCTCCCTTCTACTCTATCTAAAAAGCAATGGAAAAATATCCTCAGGTGAGGATTAAAAAAAATTACTGTTTATGTTTAAGATATGTAAGAAAAATGTTAAATGCATTATGAAATAATCAGCCTTTGAAAAGTGGTGCAATACTTGAGCAAGCCAAGAAGTCAGAGGAAAGATCACCTGATAATTTGATACATGCAACACAAACTGCTGAATCTAAGTTTTAACCCACCTCAGCTTTGCTCTGTTTCAATTGCTGGTTATGAGTCTGGATTACTTCAAAATATTTCTCATAGTTTTTTTTACTTAATTTCTCTAATTAATTTACTCCTATGCTTTATTTATGATAGTACAAAAATAAGTTTCTCATAGTTTTTGCCACAGGCTTTTTTTTTAAATCCTTGCCTGAGGATATTTTTCCATTTTGCATAGAGTGGAAGGGAGGGAGGGAGGGAGAGAAGGAGAGAGAGAGAGAGACACATCGATCGGTTGCCTCCCACACAACCCCAACCAGGGCTAAGGATCAAACCTGTAACCTAGGTATGTGTCCTTAACCCACAACCGAACCCAAGACCCTTTGGTCAGCAGGCTGATACTCTAGCCAGGACTAACCAGGACTGTCACTGGCATTTTATACTTTAAGCTGTTTGTATGTCACTTACCTATATAATTTTAAAAAGCACAACGTTCGCCAAAAAACGAATCAATGTAATAAATTTATTTTTGCGGGGGTGGGGGGGTTGGCGGCGAGTATTCAATCAAACCTCAGTGATAAATTTCTTGATGTAGACTTGCTGGGTCACAGGATATACATTTAAAAATTTAAAGATTTTTAAATTTTTAAACCCATTGGCCCATTTCTCAGACCTTCATTGAGACAGTTTTATCATCTTTTTAAATTTTTGCTAATTTGATAGCAGGGGAAAAAAACATAAGGTGGGCCCCTGACCAGTGTGGCTTGGCGGTTAGAGCATTGGCCTGTGGCCCAGAGAGACCTGGGTTCGGTTCCCGCTAAGGGCATGTACCTCGGTTGCAGTTTGTCCCTGGCCCTGGCTGGGTCATGTGGGAGGCAGCATTCAATGTGTCCCTTTCACATTGATGTCCCCCCCACCCCCCAATCTGAAAAAAACAGCAAAGGAAAAAAAAAAAGCTGGCTGGTGTGGCTCAGTGGATTGAGCATTGTCCCATGGACTGAGAGGTCCCAGTTCAATTCCTGGTCAGGGCACATGCCCAAGTTGCGGGTTCGGTCCCCAGTGTGGGGTGTGCAGGAGGCAGCCAATTGATGTTTCTTTCTCTCTCCCTTCTCTAAAAAAATCAATAAAAACTTATCTATAAAAAAAAAAAAAAAAAAAAAAAAAAAGCTCCTCTTTAATCCACCAGGAATTTGTTTTTGTGTAAGATAGAAGCCAGACTGACATTCTGGTTAATATATTACAGCTAACATACCAACTATTTAGTTAATATATTCCAACCCAGAGCAATTCCAACAGGAAAGACTCTGATCACTATTCCATCACAAAACTAGAAGCAGTTCTCATCCCATACCTCCTGAGTTTCATGCTGCCTGTCCTTTGGATCTGAAGACTCATCCAGACCCACTGGCAAATGCTTTGAACTCTTATTAGTCACTGTGCCACTGTACTGACATTCAATTGGCCCAAGTCAAAGGATCATCTGTTGCTACAGAAACATGTAGAAAGCACATCTAGGGCGCCTTGATTTATTAGAACTAAGCTAAGCAATCTGATGCTCCAGAAGGAAACTGTCTAGGGCATCCAGACAGAAACAAGGGTCAGAACATGTTTTCAGAGATGAAAGACTCTGTCCCAGACCCACCTTCAACCTGCCTGCCCTGTTCCCCAACCTTAGAAGTCAAGCAGACCAGGGTCTGAATTCCAGTGGATCCATGAATTTAGCTTACTACATTAGGATCACTGCTTAAATTCCATAATGATCAGTTCTCATCTGAAATAGGATGACACTACCATTTAGACTGCAGTTACTGAGAACTTGGCATACAGTAAATGGGCGGTACTACTAAATACCACACATAAGATTTCCTTGAACTTCACTTCACCACCACCAAGAAAATCACTCTCCTCCAGCTTTCCTTTAAAATGTATGTACCTTTCTTCCTCCTCCTCTTCCTCCAAGAAAGGACATGACAGAAACATACAAAACAGTGCCTCATTGCCATACTCCTCCAGTAGTAGCTCCTTATCCATTTATTTTCCTCCCTCCTCAGCCCTCATGACTGCAGTCTTTCAACAGCTAGAATTAGGCTGCCTCTTTTCTGACCACTTGTTCCTCCTCAATATCCCAGGAGCCACTTCATTCAGCTGGTTGCCTCCTACCTCTAAATTTGTTGTATCTTTCCACCTCTCCTAACAACTGAGGGAGTCATCCAGGGCTCAAGCCTAATCCCTCTGGTTTCTGCCTGCCCCCATCCTCCACAGGCCTTTCCCCCAAGGCTGGGAGTTCAGGTATGGACTGTTCCTCAATCCGTTAGAGCATCCTGCCTACAGATCTCTGTATAGTAACACATCAGATACAGAGCTCTCTCCTAAAATCTGTTTCCTCAATACATGCCCCCCTCCACGCCTACAGGCCTTGTAACACCCTTCTCTCCTTACTCCCAAGAAATAATAGTAGCTAGGTACTGTATGTAGTAATAATATAATGTGTGTAAGAACGTTACAGATGCTTTTTATTTTTATTTTTTTTCTTTATTGATTTTTAGAGAGAGGGAGGGAGAGAGAGACAGAAACATCGATGAGACAGAACACTGACTGGCCACCTCCTGCATGCCCCCTACTGGGGATCGGGCCTACAACCTGGGCATGTGCCCTGACCTGGAATCGAACTGGCAATCTCTTGGTGCATGGGTTAACGCTCAACCAAGGAGCAACACTGGCCAGGCACAGGTGCTTTCTAATGTAATCCTTGCAACCCTATATGGTATATAGTTGTACCTTTTACAGAGGGAAAAACAGGAAAGGCAGTGGTGGCTATATAAGCTGCCTGAAAAGCTACACTCACACAAGCAGTCTAGGACAGCAAAGAATTTTGTGGGGTGGGGGAAGAAGGAACAGAAAGGGAGGGAGAGAGGGTGGGGAGACAGGGGGAGAGAAAGAGGAAGAGAGAGGGAGAAAAGAAAAAAAAAAAAGTGTCCAACTAGTTCTCTAATTCCCCAAGGAAGTGCTGACCACTCCACTATTACCAACCCCAACTAGGCTGTCAGAGATCAGGCTTTTAAATCACTAAATGCTTAGTTCACTTAGAAAGTCCTTCCTAGAAACTAAGTCAGCAGTCATCTCTTCCTGCCTTTTGCTGAAAGCTTAATGCACAAAAGACCCATGGGTCGAACTCTATTCTCTCCCTTTTACCTCTCCAAACTGCCAGTCAACAAGATCTGCTGCTTCTATACAGGATCCTTGGACCTGACATTTTTGCCCATTCTTCTGAGTATCTACTATGAGCAGACACCCTCCTAGGCACTGGGGCTACAACAGTGAGCAAGAAGTAACTGTTCCTGAATCAGGACTGTCTTCTAACTATAGGTCCTGATTCTCCCATTGCTGTCCTACCCAAGGCAGCCACAACTGCTTTTCAGAAATGACAATCTCTTATCCCACTACATCCCTGCTGAAATTGCAACGGAGTATGGTACAGTCAAAGGATGGGGTAACAGCCTTTGGTTTGGTTCAGCGATTAGAGCATCACTGTGGACCAGAGAGTCCTGGGTTCGGTTCCCGCTAAGGGCACGTACCTTGGTTGCAGTTTGTCCCTGGCCCTGGTTGGAGTCGGGTGGGTAGCAACCAGTTGATGTGTTTCTCTCGCATCGATGTTTCTCTCTCTTCCTCCCTTTCTCCCTCCTGCTCTATCTGAAGATAAATGCAAAACTGTCCTCGGGTGAGAATTTAAAAAAGGATGGTGTAACAGGGCTCAGCTATTAACATGCCCTTTTTCGTAAGCAAGTCATTTCTTTGTAGGACCCATTTTCTCTTCTATTAAAAGAGCAAGGTAAACTAAGGATCTAAAGGAGTACATTTTATGATTCTTAGGCAAATATTAAAGATCACACAAGAACAACAACAAAAGAAAACTTTTATCACTTAAAGCCAACTTCATCTCCCAGCCACAACCCGGTCAAGTCCAACCTGCTAGCTGTAAACTGCATTTTCAGATATATGAGACATTGTCATGTACAGGGGACAGATTTGCTTAGGTGGCAGCATGGTATAGTGTAAAAACTCAGAGGCTGTAAACTAGCAGTCTCCACACCTCCACTTCCCTGAAAAGGTTCTGCTTGGCTGGCATAGTAATTTGAGATTTCTGAGCCTGAATGCTGTTATGAAGAGCACTATTCTAAAGCTCCAAAGTGTCAGTCTGTAACAGTCATTATCTCACACCAGCACGTTTCTCTCATTTATGTTAACTCCTTGGCCCTTTAAAGTAATTCCCATCTGCCCCATCGGTGCCCTCTTTCTCCTTTAATTAGAATTTTTAAATAGTAAATTAAGGCCCTAACCATGTAACTCAGTTGGTTAGAGTGGCATCCTTATATGCCAAAATTTTGGGTTTGATCCCTGCTCAGGACACATACAAAAATCAACCAATGACTGTATATGTAAGTGGAACAACAAATCAATGTTTTCTCTCTCTCTCTCAAATCAATAAAAAGCCACGTCTCATTTCTTCTAATCTCCTACTTCCCTATATTATTGAAAAGATGTCTGCCACTCATCCTTTCCTCCCACCATGACAATCCTAAATATCACACAGAGATAAGGCATTGAAGGTCAAACTGGCATTCTACCAAGGCTTTGGTTGATTGCTTGCTTGCTTTTTTATTCTTCCTTGCGCTTGACTGGGAAGGGGCTACATTACACCCTCCATTCACCTCTTGAAAAATTGGTCCAGGCTAATCTTAACGTTCTGCTTAGGCAACACTGCCTTCGAAAGCTGTTCCCAGAGGAAGCCGAGTTCCTGGAGTACTAACCGTAATACCTTCGAAAAATGGTAAAACTCTTATCCCTCTTTGGCCGGAGCTTCTTTCTCCAAGGTTAGACAGACCAGCTTTCTTGAGTTCCCTAACCCCCCCCCCCCCGCCCCACCCCGGATAACCCGACATTCTGTACACCTTAAGTGCTTAAACGCATCATGGCCATTTTTGTCTGTATCTCTCAAACACGAAACTTTTTTTCCTCCTGCCCTCCTTTCCTAGTAACTGGCCCTGTGTTGGGCTCAGACTTGCCATGAAGTCTGACCAAACTGCGCCAATGCGGCTGTGATTCAGAGGCCAGGCTCACGGCAAAGCGCTCAATGAAAAGTTCCAGAACTGAACCGGCTTCTCCGGGCTCCTCAGTGTGGCTGTCACCCTGTCGCCTAGCTTTGCTTTGCCTTCTCACTCGGCCCGCGCCCTGGAGCGCTCAAATACATTCGTAGAACGGAGCAGGCGTCTCGAGCTTAGGTTTCTGCAGGACTGGGCCGGGGTATCGTTTCCTCTTTGCACTCCCCCTTAACCTCCGGATCAGCAAAGAACAAAGTTACACAGAGCTCTCAGACCCACCCTGGGCCGAGTTTCCAGGTAAGTCCTCCCGCCCCAAACGAGCCCGCTCTCTCACCCGGACCCCCTGGCGGCTCGCCGTGCGGCTGGGGCCCAGGGGCGCCGCCGTCAAGGATGGCGAAGGCCTCGTCGTTCTCGATGCCCGCAATCTCGCTCTCCTGCTGCGCCAAGAAGGCCGCGGCCGGGTCTTCTTCGCCCGCGCCGGCCACCCCATTGCCCAGCGCGGGGCCGCCGGGAGTGCCGGCAGGGGCGCCGAATGGATCTAGTTCAGCCATGCCGGGCAATTCAACAGCACGGACACCGACGCTGAGAAACAAACCAGCAGACCCACCGACACCGCGCCCGGCAGCGCGACTTCACTCGTAGGACAAGCTGGAGGAAGAAGAAGGCGGAAGCGGAAACCCTGCCCCTATATCCGGTTAGTGTAGGCCGCGTTGGAGAGCCGGAAAGGTAACAACCAGTCAGAAGGCAGCAATCGTTCACGAGCTACCCAATCAGCAGAAGGAGGGGCGGGCCCCCAGGGAAAACTCGTGACTCGGGCAGCGCGGACCGTGAGGGTAAGCCCCGTGGGCTTCAGAAAGGCAGATGTAGCGCTTGACTGAAAGTCGACTTGCTCGCCGGGCCTTTAGGACCTCAGTGACCTGGTACCGACACCTGGGAGGGGACGCCGGTGCTGAACCTGGCGGTGAGGTGAAGTTAACTCAGCGATGATTGGCCGACCGTGGAAGAGGCAAGCTACTTAGACTTTCTGGGCCTTTTTCCTCGTCCGCACTGGGAATCCTGCATTGCCTCCCTCCCAGGATTGTTGGGAAGACTGAATCCTTTTACGGCGATATACTAGCGTTATTTATTTTTTTGTAATTTTGTATTTAACTCATTCACCCAGCCGGGATTATTTTTTTTCCTTTAGAGCAGCCTGACTTAAATGTGAGTGATTCGAATCCACTCTGATCCCCTCCCCCCACCTAGTATTTTTATTAAAAGGCGAATGCATCTTTTACAAAGTCTTTTCAGAGCTAGACAGAAGTTTCTGGAGCTGGAAAGTTCTGTAGGGATCACCTAGTTCATGAGGAAACGGAGGCCCCTGTGTGGGAAGGGATCGGTCACAGAAAGGGAGTCGGTGGTCAGGAAACCCAGGTCTCCTGGGCACCTCCGTAATGGTACGAGCCACGATCTCTTATGTGCACACACCTTTCCCAGCTAGGGACTTTTTAAAGTTCCTTGAGTATTTTAAATCAGGGACATATTTATAACATGGTTAATCTTGTCTACACCATAGAAATGATAGTGATCCCAGTTCATCATGCTCATGTTGAGGGAAGCGTAAGCCATGGCCAACACTCCTATACCTTCACCACCCTAAAGAGGAGAAAAATCAAATACCAATCAACCAGAGGTCAAAAGTGTCTCCCTCCTGAGGTAGTCAGCAAGGCACAAGTGGTTTTAAAAATAAACATTTATTTTTTGTTTTTGTTTAAAGGTAAAAAGCCTCTGATAGTTATTATACATCAAGAATCTAAATTACAAATAATAGTCATGTGCCTCTCCTTAGGAAAATCCAATGTGTGGAAACCCTAAATTATAAAAAGGTACAATATACTGTGATGTAAGATTGCTTTAAGAGCCTGACTGGTGTGGCTCAGTGGATTGAGCATGGTCCCATGGACTGAAAGGTCTGGGTTTGATTCCCCGTCAGGGCACATACACAGATTTCAGGTTTAGTCCCCGGTTGGGGTGCATACAGGACGCAGGCCATTGATGTTTCCCTCTCTCCTTCTCTCTCTATAATCAATAAAAACACATCCTCAGATGAGGATTAATAAAAAAGAATTGGTATTAATATTTAATAAAAAACATACATGTATTTTTTTTAATTCTCACCTGAAGATAGTTCTCCATTTATCTTCAAAGTTGTAGAGAGGGAGAGAGAGAAACATCAACATGAGAGGGACACACAGACTGGTTGCCTCATGCATGACCCCAACCAGGGTTGGGGACGAACCACAACTGAGACACGTGCTCTTGACCAGAATTGAACTTGCAACTCATTGGTCTGTAGGCTGAAGCTCCAACCACTGAGCCAAATTGGCTAGGGCCATACATATATTAATAAGGACAAAAATAGTAATTATTTGCTCAAAGCATTCATTTACTTTTTTTAGTATGTTTTCATTAATTTTTTTTTTAGAGAGAGAGAAAGGGAGACAGAGATAGAAACATCAATCAGTTGCCTCTTGCACACCCCACACTGGGGATCAAGCCTGAAATCTGGGCATGTGCCCTGACTGGGAATCGAACCGGGACCTCTCAGTCCATGGAACGACGCTCAATCCACGGAGCCACACCAGTTGAGCAAGCATGCATTTCCTTTTTTTTTTTTTATCCTCACCCGAGGATATCCCTCCATGTTTTGTTCAGATAGAGTGGGAGGGAGAGAGAGAGAGAAACATCAACGTGGAAGGGACACACCGAGTGGCTGCCACCCACACGACCCCAACCAGGCCGGGGACAAACTGTAACCGAGGTACATGCCCTTAGCGGGAACCAAACCCGGGTCTCTTCGGACCGCAGGCCAATGCTCTAACTGCTGAGCCAAACCGGCCAGGGCTCCTTTTTTTTTATTAATCACTCGAGGATATTCTTCCATTTATCATCAGAGTGGGAGGGAGGGAGAGAGAGAGAGAGACAGAGAGAAATATCAATGTGATAGAGCCACATCAAGTGGTTTCCTCCTGCATGATGCTTCCTGCATGACCCGACCAGGGCAGGGGATGAACTGCAACCAAGGTACGTGCCCTTGACCAGAACCGAACCCGTGACTCATTGGTCCACAGGCCGATGCTCTAACCGCTGAGCCAAACTGGCCAGGGCGAGCATGCATTTACTTTTAAAATCATTTTAAATATGGAATGTAGGAACGTTTTGAAGAAAAAAAAAATTAAGAATTTGTTTGTAAGGCCTACAACTGATTCAGTTGTGCCTTCCCTCTTCTTGTTTAATGTTCTTCCCTAACATAAATTGGCAATAATGTATGAAGTAGTTTCACATTTATTTTCTTGAAACAATCTATCCTGCTCCTGTAAGGAAGATAAGGGGAAGAAATGACCATGAGAGAGTCCAAGGAGGGCAACTTTTGTCTGTTTGCAACAGTAATAGCTGAGGGAAAGACAACATTCTCTCCCTGGAGTAATGCATGACTCTGGGAAAGCTGTCCTGAGAGTCACTTGCTAGAGGAGGCATCACAAATGCAAAATCAACTATTATTTATACACTCAAAATTAGGGAAGTCAGCTAAGGGATGACTTCACAAAGGAGGTGGCTTGGAGCTTAGTTTTGGAATGTGGGTAAGATTTAGAAGAGTCCCTACTCACGGCTTAATATTGTTGTGCAGAGGTTCAGGACATGGCATGTCTGGGGGACAATGAGTACAGGCATACCTCAGAGATATTGCAGGTTCAGTTCCAGTTAACCCAATAAAGCGAGTCATAATCTTCAATTTGTAAAAACACCTCTGTGGAGTGCAATTAAGTGAGGAGCAATAAAATGAGGTACACCTGTAAGTTTGGCTGGGCCTGAAAAGCTTAGGAGGAATAATTTTTTTTTTGGTACGTGCCCCTAGCGAGAACCGAACCCGGGACTCTCTGGTCCTCAGGCCGATGCTCCAACCGCTGAGCCAAACCGGCCAGGGCAGGAGGAATAATTGAAGGCAAATCTGGAGATAATGTGATGGGACTCTGAATGCAGTCCATGTTAAGGACACCTTATTAGTGATAGGGAATCATGGAAGGTTTCAAAGAAATGGAAGGCTAATCATATTTAGTTGAGGAGTACTAGAAAAATTTCCTACAAGAAGTAAGTCGTTTTTTAGTTTCTATCTTGCCCCTGGACTTTTAGGTGAGGGCAAGGACCACGTCTGCCTTGCTCACCTGTGTACTATCAGGGTCTAGCATTATGCCTGGCACATAGCAGATCCCTTATGCTTGATAAATAGTTGTTAATGGACTGAATGGAGTAGCATTCAGAGGAGAAGGGTTGTAAGACGTGGGATAGAGGGGAGGAGAAGCAGAGAGTGGTATTGTGCTCTGGGAGTGATTTGGCTAGATAATGGAAGAATCAGGAAGAGTACATGCATATTGCTGGAAAATGTGTGGAGTCGAATTATGGAGGGTTGAGTGCCCAGGTGAGGATTATTACTTAATTGCTGAGGCTGTGAGGAGCCTTTGGAGGACTTGAAACAGGCAGTGACTTAGTGAGAACCTTGTTCTGGAAGAATCTTCTGGCAGTGTAAGAGAGTGTTCTGAAAAGAGGAAGGACAGGAAAGAAAGCTGCAGTCATTCAGGAGGGAGATGGGGGTGAGGGCAAGGATGATATTCTAGGGCACCAAGCATTGGGCTCAGGTGGAAGGAAAATAATGGAGGTAATAACGTACATGGTACTTGGTAATGATAGCATTTAGGAGACAGAGAGAGGAGAGTCACAGATAACATTAATAGCTTGGAAACCCCTGGACAGAAATAGCCACAACAGGAAAAGCCAGGTGAGAGGGATGGGGCAGGAGATGAGAGAAAGGAAGAATTCAATGTGGACATACTGAACCCGAGGACTGTAGAATATTCAGGAGACATTCAACAGGCTATTGGCAATCTAAGTCTGAAGTTCGGGATAGAGGAGGTGTTAATTCCAGTGATGGTGGGCAAAGTTGTTCAGGGCCAGCTTTTCTGCAGAAAACAACTAGAAGAGCTGGGGAAAAGTTTTAAAAATCTCTTTGAAGGCACCGGAGGATGAAGGAAGCAATGAAGAATTGTGGTCCCAAGTTCTAGGAGAAGGAGTGAGCCTAACATCTGCAGCCACTTTTCCTCTCCATGTGATTGTTACTTCTAAGAGCAGTCGGAAAAGCTGAGTAGAGAATTCAATAGTCAAGGCTGGGAGGGAAGAAAATAGTTGAGGACCTACCAAGAAGGAGGGGCCCTGATAAATATACCAGGCTTTTGTTTTTTAATGCTCACCTGAGGGTATTTTTTCATTTATCTTCAGATAGAGTGGGAGGGAGAGAGAGAGAGAGAGAGAGATGTGAGAGACACAACTGGTTGCCTCCTGTACGACCCGACCAGGGCCAGGACCGAATTGCAACCGAGGTACGTGCCCTTGACAGGAATTGAACCTGCGACTCTTTGGTCCTCAGGCCAACGCTCTAACTGCTGAGCCAAACCGGCCAGGCCCAGGCTTTGTGTTGGAACCCTGAGGGGCTACACACTAAGAATAAAGGTGAAAATAGACTGAGGCCCATATATGCACGACCAATGGACACAGACAATAGTTTGGAGAAAGCAGGAGGGGGGTGGGAGTGGAAAGGAGGGGGGTCAATGGGGGAATAAAGGAGGGACACCTGTAATACTTT